AGGAAGTGGTGAAGGAAATAGTAAAGGCGAGCAGTCCGGAGTGTGAGAACTGTTTATGACGATTTGATAAGTGTATCTGCAATCCGAAAATGCTATGGGAAGAGAGGAAAACAGGTCCGCGTCATAGGAAGTGGTGATGGAAGTTGTAAAGGCGAGTAGTTTGGAGTGTGGAAACTGTTTATGACGATTAGATTAAGGTATCTGCGATCCTAAAATGCTATGGAAAGGGAGGGAAACGAGTCCGTGACGTAGGAAGTGGTGAAGGAAGTTGTAAAGGCGAGTTTTCCGGAGTGTGGAAACTGTTTATGACCAATAGATTAAGGTATTTGCAATCCAATAATGATAAGGGAAGGGAGGTAAACAGGTCCGTGACGTAGGAAGTGGTGAAGGAAGTAGTAAATGCGAGTTTTTCGGAGTGTGGGAACTGTTTATGACGATTAGATTAAGGTATCTGCAATCCTAAAATGCTATAGAAAGGGGGGGAAACAGGTCCGTGACGTAGGTAGTGGTGAAGGAAGTAGTAAAGGCGAGTTGTTCGGAGTGTGGGATATGTTTATGACCAATAGATTAAGGTATTTGCAATCCAATAATGCTAAGGGAAGGGAGGGAAACAGGTCCGCGACGTAAGAAGAGGTGAAGGAAGTAGTAAGGTGAGTACTGTGGAGTGTGGGAACTGGAAACCGTTTGTAGCAGTTAGATTAATGTATCTGCAATGCTGAGATGCTATGAGAAGGGATGGAAGCACGCCACGGCATAGAAAATTGCGAAAGAAGTAGTAAAGGCTAGCAGTGCGGAGTGGGGGAAATGTTTGTGGCAATTCTAGATTAACGTATCTAAAATACTAAAATGCTATGGAAAGTGATGAAAATAGGTCCACGATGTAGGAAGTGGCTTAGGAAGTAGTAAAGTATGAGCATAGTGTGAGAACCGTCTGTGGGAGTTAGATTAATGTATCTTCAATCCTAAAATTCTTTGAGCAGGGAAGGAAACAGACCTCACGACGTAGGAAGTGGTGAAGGAATTAGTAAAGACTGGCAGTGCAGAGTGAGGGAACCGTTTGGGCAGTTAGATAAATGTATCTAATACTTAAATGCTATGAGAAGGGAAGGAAACAGTTCTATGACGTAGGAAATGGTGGAGGAAGTAGTAAGGCTTGCAGTGCAGAGTGTCGGAAGTGTCTTTGGCAATTACATTAATGTATTTGCAATCCTAAAATGTTATGGGAAGAGAGGGAAACATGTCCTCGACGTAGGGGGTGGTGAAGGAAGTAGAAGAGGTGAGCAGTGTTGAGTGTGGGAATGGATTAATGTATCGGCAATGCTAAAATGCTATGGGAAGAGACTGTTGACTGTAGGTTAAAATGATTACGAAACACGAATCGATACATATTTCGATACATGCAATTTTTTACAATAGAAATTTAAAACTGAGTTGACAACTGCTGATTTTTACTCCATAGAGGATAAAAACGATTTTTCCTCCCTAAAGAGTAAAAATGCTACTTTAGACCCGCAACGCATGTATTAAAAACGACTGTTTTTACTACAGTATGACAAAAACTATATAATATGAAACCTTGATGACTCCGCTCAATTTTGTGGATGCCTCTGCGAACGCCACCTAGTTAAATAAAAAATTAAAGAATCTTAACAGCTGGTTCAACTAAACAAATTGATTCTGTGATGTTCAATAGCATTAAAAAGTTAATAGTTTCACCAACAGGGTGCAGCGGTGTTATTTTTTTATGACAAAAGCTAATTTGCAACCAAAAGGTGAGTGAGCGTAGAGAACGAACTTCAACCTGGAGGCGAGTAGCGTAGCGAAAGAGCTAACCTAAAGGCAAGTGAGCGCAGCGAACGAGCTCCAACCTAAAGGTGAGTAAGCGTAGCGAACAAACTTCAACCAGGACGTGATTGAGCCATGCGAACGAGCTCATCTTTGAAAATGAACGAGCATTTGCTATAAAACCACATTAGGACAGGACGACGTCTGTCGGGCCAGCTAGTTTAATATAAAGAAGTGTGAAATAAAAAAAATCTATTATATTATTAAAGTGATACGATGAAATTTTATGTAAACGGTTAAGGTCATTTACCAAATAAAAATATAGGCATATGGCACTTAAAAATGAAGCTTAGAGTATGTAGATTTGCCGAAAAGTATTGATATGTACGAATTTCCTTAGGGCTCTGCCCCACAGGCTGATTTCCAAAGGCCTACGCCTGGCATACTTTTAATGATTACCCGATTTAATTTAATTTAGTTAATGAAACAGCTGATCAGTACAATGAACTGGTGTTTGTTTATTTACTCGAATAAGATGTTCGTGACGCTTTATGTAGATTGAGGAGGGTTATGATTGGTTTTAAAGTGAGGTTGTATACGTTTTGTAAAGTATTGCTCAAAGCTTCATTTTTATATATACATATAGTAAGCTGCATGTGAAGAGGCTTGACTAAAATTGAAGAAAATGGTAAAACATGTCATTCATAAAGCATCAATATGAAGCAATAATTGATGCTATTGCTACACTAAGGTATGTTGTCGTATTCTAAGGGATCTATTAACATCAAAAGTAGGGGTTTGAAAGTAAGTAGGTTTACGCTTTTAAATCAGTTTATATTTTCAAACTAAATCATAGAGTTGCTGTATTTTAAAACACACATCAGCACCACTTAAATAGCTCTCTAGGTCACATTTTCTTCCCATTGCAAAGCACGGGTATAGTAGCTTGTAATTAATTTATAATCTTAGTTACTATCATTGACTTATTTAATCTTAGTTACTTTGACCAGTAGGCCTAACTGGAATTTGATACTTTTAAAAATACTGTTTACAATTAAAAAGGAAACGGAGATACCAACATATGAGCGTGTTTTGTCGTTAAAAAGTGTGTCATAGCACTGTAGTTTGAATTGTAAAAACAAGTTGTAACTGGATAGCTTTGAAGTCATCTTCATGAAGTTCGACGTTGGGTTGATGAAGTGTAGGGTACATGAGAAATACCCTTAAAATTTATAAAACATAAAATATCCACAAAATCTGAAAGCTTAGACAAATTTAAAAAGTTAAATAGAAAATATAACGATTTTAACAAACTAATGGGTTTTAAGTAAAATAATCGTATAACACAGTTTATGGTTGGTGTTAGATAAATGCTGACAAAACTAACTGCTGATAAAACTAGATAACTACTAGCAGAGTACCCATCCTTCGGACAGGGTTGGCGTATAAGTATAAAATGCTTATTGAAGCTAATCTTGCTTTGCGTTTGCAATGGGGGAGGACACGGTTTAAGAAAATTTGGTTCTTTTAATTTACGGTATGCTATAGTATAACACATCTACCATAGCCATAATAATGTTCTACCACTGCACTTAAACAATCGAAAAAATTAAATAACATAATATTCGGACAATATTACAACATTTTAAAATAAATAACTTAAGCATAACAGTAAACTATCCTACTTTGGCATTTTTCCTTTTTGAGTATCACAGCTTTTTGTAGGTGCTTGGTTCAAATTAGCTGTTATCATAGATGAAAAAAATAATAATAGTGCTGCACCGTGTTGGTAAACCCACTAATGTTTTATTGATGCTATTGAATATCATAGAAGCAACTTGTGTGATTGAAACAACTGGCAAAATTCTTTAATTCCTTTTAAATATGAATACCGATAAAGTTAACATAGGAATCTCTAGAGCCACTGGGGCGGGGCCCGAAACGATACTTGAGATAAAACAATATCCTTTCGGGCTCCACCCCAGTGGCTATGGAATTTCCCATGTTAACCTTATGAGTATATCTTTCCTCATATATACCTTTCTATCTGCATATATTATAGGCAAGCATGTTTCTTTAAAACCTTTTTTCTCAGCTCGTGTGCATCGCAGGGAAAATCTACGCATACTGTTGGAAAGATATTACCTTATGTGCATTATCCCTTTATAAATTAAAATAGGGTCAAAAATAAGCCCAAAAAGTATATTAAAAAAAAACATAAATAACATGGGCCTTTTGGGTTGCCTACCATGCTGGTGACGAAATAACAATACAATATACTGCAAACAGAAATTAAAAACAAATGGAAGAAATTACAGTGTGGGGCGGTAATAGAGAATTCTGTAAATTACATATTTTTGGTCGAGTTTTTTTTCGACCATTGGACGACCTCTATTTCATATTTAAAAGGAATTGAAGAATTTGGACAGATGTTTTAACTATACAAGGTCATTCAATAGCATTAAAAAGTTAGTTGGTTCTATGATATTCAATAGCATTAAAAAGTTATAAGGTTTGCAAACTGGGTGCAGCACTATACATTTATGCATTTTTGACACGGCTTATTTGAACTAGCAGCAACAAAAAGCCATAATATACAATGAGAACTGTCAAAGTATGACTGATTACAGTTATGTTTTAATTTAATACTTGGCGACAAGCATTCAACAGAGATACTTGGTGTGTGTTTAACAATTATTCAATGGATTACCACGCAACAATAGACTATAAGCCACACAAATAAACATATCGAATGTACAGCATCGTGTATACACTTCAAAGGATTAAAATGGAAAGATGAGCCTGCTGGAATGTTTTGTTCTGGTTGAAAAGTTACTTTACACGTATTGGAATAGCTGACACGGCTATAAAAAACCGTACTTGGAGAAGCTGAAGAGTCGCGGCATTTGCAGTTTCAAGATTTTATGTTGTAAGATTTTTTAGTCGGAGATGAAACATGTAGTTTTGTGTTAAATGGTTTTCATTTAGTTTTTATTAATTGTAATTTAATCGCCATGGAATTTTTTATCGTAACATGATTTTACATGATTGTAATACTCTGTTTATTTCTTATGCTGTATATACCTGCGTAGGTGAAGCCGCGGGCACAAGCTTGTGATTTATAAACGTAATAGATCATCAAAGAACAAGGAAAACCGCAAAGATATTCCCCCACCTCCCGGCTGTACGACCCGCACTGGCCACGTCCAGTGTGTTCAGCAAGACAGTTATTATAGTTGTTCAAGCGACGCCTCCAATGCCATTTAAACGTATCAGACGAAATGTGGGAAAATCCGACATTTAATCGCTGAGGGATATTATCGAGGGTTTTCCGGGGTCACGCCGTTGCTCTCTGCCAGAAGATAGATATAACACCAGTAGTGGCCTCGCCTTTAGCCGGAGTGGACTGTACTGTAGTGAGGCTGCAGTGAGACGAAGACGTCGGCGTCAACTGTGGTCAACAATTATCTCAATATGTCTGTGTTGCTAAAGTTGGTGGTGTTCACCATTGTGTTGTTCTCAACAGGACTCTCTGCCCCAGTGAACGAGGACGGTTCGATAGACGAAGACGACATTGACATTACAGTGAGTTGAAATTATTTAAAGTTGGACAGTTATGTCCTGTTAAGTAGCAATTAATTAGACAGCTTTGTACACGTATATTTTTTCGCCTTTAGTTAGATGCGTACGATACTCTCCGTTAGTAAATTTACTAAAAAGATAGCACGAGTTCTAGTAGTTTGTATCATAGGCTAATCAACATAAGGCAGTAGGGTATGTTTAGTCTATGTTTATATTGAGTAGTTATATGAGTACGAGTACAGAAGTTTATTTTGCTATAAATCATAAAACTGAAACGATATGACCGTAGTAGGAAATATTCAGACTGTATTGTAGAAAATATACCAAATCATATTATGAATATATAGAAGTTTGAGGAGATTTAAGTCAAATAGCCTATTATAGGGTTTAAACGTTGTTTCAGAGTCAATTAAAACTATTCCATTCCAATAGGCTACTATTTTACATTGCAAAGTTTGTGTTCGTTTAAGGCAGTCATTAGGTGAATAAAAACTACTGATCAACTACATTAGTTTTTAGATCCACACTATTAAAGAGTACTTTACCTACTTAATCCATGTAAAATCCATTTTCATTAACTGTTTCGTCTCTTGTTCACAATCTGACTACGTTTGACATTCAACTGAAAAATCATATATTAAATTAGGATTCACATTCAAATTGTTGTACATAAAGTCAGTTGGTCAGTATCACTGGATCTTTGTAATAAAACTCTAGAAATAAATGAAACGATAGGGGCGAAGCTCTAAAGGAGCTTTAAAATGATACCTTGATCGCGAATTTCTGTAAGTAGGACCGAAAAAAGGCATAATACAGAGAACCCTCATATTGTATTAAGTAGATGGAAGATACCTATTAGTAATCTAGCATTATATTAGCACCCTTTGTCAAGAATAGTAGTAATAGCCAGGAAAAATTATACGAGTTACAGTTTTTATCTTTACACAACTGAAGACTCAAAAACATGACTCTATTAACAAAAATTACGCAAATTGGTAATGTAAACGAAATTAGATATGGTAGTTTTCTACACTACAAGTGACAGTGGCTCTGTTCGGTACGCCATAAATACGATTAAGTACCAAAAAGACATTTTCGCTCGTATGATGAACAACTATTTTCATTATACAGTGGAAATCACCTTCTAATCGTCACAAAATTATACCACATAATTTGAGGTTATACAAAGTCGTCATCAATGTTTACATTTCTGTTGTTTACAAACATAACTTAAAATAGCGATTGATTAGCTGCGTTTTCACAATGTACTAATAAAATGTTGAGTTTAGCGAACTGAAAAAAATACCATATGTTTTTCTGTTCCCTATTTGAATTTACCAAAAACCCATGTTTTTGCGGACGATTTAGAGAACTAAATAGTATATTTCGTACCTAGGGCCGAAAACGAGGTTTTGCCAGCTCGAGATAGTTTTTCGAGACGAAGTCGAGAACCTAAATCGATCGAGAGCTGCAAAACCATTTTCGGTCCGTGGTACGAACACTATTTTTCACCACACTACTACTATTCACAATAATAATAATGAAAACAGATAGTCATCTCAACTGTAAGGTTATGTGATGAAGTAATTTCAGGAATCAGCAAAAATAATAATAAAAAGTTGCTAGGCAACGGTGAAAATAAAACAATTCTATTTCAATACTATGGATACTGTTTATGCAAGCGGACAGCTGATTTTGCGGCCCCGAGATATAAAAACCTGCTCGGTCCCCAAATTACGATGACAGCTGCTGGTATGGCCAGCAAAACGTAACTTTCAGCCAACAATTAACCTATGTAATACAGTACACTAAAAAACATCATAGTGTTGTGAAAAACCTCTTTTTTGCTGACAGTATGATGAAAATTGTATTATCATCTATGTGAAGTGTTTGTGTACGCAAAGTTTACAAGACTATAATCTAAGATTGACTAATGAAGCTTACCACCATAAATAATTTGATTAGATAGTTACGTTAGGGATGTGATATTCAGATTGTCATTTGCTAAACTTATAACCTGTACAGATATATCACACTTTTCCATCAATAAGCAAATGACTAACTTACTTGAAACTGCTCACAAGGGAAAGCAATTTAATTTGTACTATCTTTCTACAAATATTTGCAGACATCGCTTCCAATATTAATAGATACATTTGACACACAAGCCTAGTGGCCTTGGGTTCGACTTTAGTTTTCCTGAATACCTAACAACCACAAAACCAGACCGGTCTGTTCACCATCAAGTCAAGGAAAGTGATAAAAATATTATATCTGTTTACAAAGCTAAGAGATGAAATAGGTATTGACATTTCTCTTATATTGTAAACATTTTTAAATCGTAAACATACTTGAGATTTTCCTGTATCGGTCATACGGTTACTAGTTTTTTAAAACACACTTAAACCCCTGTAGTCTAGTTCAGACTAGACTAACTCTTTAATGTTCACGTAAGGACTATCAGGACAAATACCCTGAGTTTAAGGAAGACAATTAAATCAATGCTAGGATATCCCAGACCTAAGACTCATAGAATGGCATATTTATATTTAGACAAGGGAAATATGCATGAGGTCACATTCTTCATACATACACATTATATTACCAAAATTAGACTGGGACGCCACCTACCTACAGGTGCGTATTTAATCCAGATAACAAAACTCATTTTAAAGGATGAGTGTAGAATGAAGTGATATGTCTTTTTCACCACACTATCATGTTTTTGGCTGTATTACATACGTTAATTGGTGGCCGAAAGTTACGTTTTGCTGGCGATGCCAGCTGTCCATAATTTGGGGACCGAGCAGGTTTTTACAGGCCGGGGCCGCAAAATCAGCTGTCCGCTTACCTTACTTAAAACATGAATGCATTTTAAATACACAATCAAAATCCATAGCATTGCAATAGAATTGTGTTATTGCCACCGTTGCCTAGCAACTATTTATTTTTCTGATTCCTCAAATTATTTCTTAACATAACCTTAAAGTTGTAGTTGTGTTGACTATCAGTGTGTATTATTATAGTGGTGAATGGTGGTAATAGTGTATAGTGTGGTGAAAAATAGCGTTCGTACCACGGACCGAAATGGTTTCGCAGCTCTCGATCGATTTAAGTTCTCGACTTCGTCTCGAACTTAAAAACTATCTCGAGCCGGCAAAACCTCATTTTCGGCCCTAAGTACGAAATATACTATTGTAGCTTTGTTGTGACCAAGACCAGCTGTTGCATTAGCCAGGGTCATTTATTACAAGCCTAATGATCAAGGACAGTTTCAAATTGATTGATTTATTGTTTATCTTTACAGATGCATCTCTCGAATTTCGGGTACCTTCCCAAGATTGATCCTCAGAGACCCCAACTTATCTCAAATAATCAGCTATCTAATGCTATAAGAGACTATCAAGAGTATATGGGACTAGAAGTTACTGGTAAGGAGTAAGCTTTCATTTAACTATTATGACCTACAATATCACATTCTGTCAGTGGCTTTATTTATTTCTTTAAATTTTTCTTTCACAATAATGCGTCCTCACACCAATAATACAAATAAAACTGACTACTTGTCTAGGCTAGGGCTATTTTTTACTGAACTCAACAAGGCAAATATTTTTAGCTTTTTGGCGTAAAATCTTGTTTGCAGTTCTAGTGACAGTTCCAAAGATGACCTTTATTAGTATTTTGATAAAGCGTATTCAGTCATAGTGTCATTGTTGAAAACGGGTTCCCTTCATTTTTAGCCATAACGGATTCATTTCCTTTTACTTTTGATTTCCAATAAACAATCCCTTTTGTCATATAAAAAGTGTTGAGTATGCGTTTATTTATTTATATTTAATAAATATTTAGTAAATAACAATTTTACATTTAGGCTTTCATGAAGCTTGATACAAATATATTATGCAACATGCATGGCTTAATTGATTTGACTAAATAGGAGGGCTTTGTCACCTTGTGGTTCAAGTTAAATTGGAAAAACTTGGACCCCTGTAGGCTATAGTTTATACGACAATGAAAAACTTGGTCCAGAATTGCGTCATCAATTCTTTCCTAGTTTGCACTCAATTTAGTCATGAAACTCCTGATTTAAATCTATATTTTATGACTCTTTTATTCCAACTTATTTTATAGTATGTAGTTTGCTAGAGAATTGTCTTCATCTATATATTAAACAATACAAACCCTAGCACGATAGCTAAGTTTTCAATTCATTTAAGAAGGTGAGCTGTGATTCTTTTGGAAGTTATATAATGTTTATCTGTTTTATGTTTACAGGGAAGCTAGATTCCCAAACAAAGAAGCAGATGGCCAGACCGAGGTGTGGAATTCAAGACAGAGTCCCTCCGGGTCCAAATGGCCTCAGCAACTTCAAACTTGGAGGTAAAGCTAAGTCCTCTTATTAAGATAAACATGCATTCTCTTTTATGTGTACCTGACTACCAACATTCATAACCGTAGTATTCAAAGGAGAAAACTGAATGAATACAATAAAATGTATAGCTGGCCGTTTCCCTAATTTTACTTTATAATGATTTTCAGGAAGTAGGTGGAAAAAAAGAACTCTGTCATACAAGATCACCAAGTACCCCAGTAATTTCCCAAGGGGTGATACAGACAAGACGATGCAGGCTGCTTTTGACATCTGGTCCAGAGTCACTCCGCTAAGATTCGTGAAAAAAGGCCAAAACGCTCGAGTCCACATTGAGATTAGGTATGTACGGAGAAACAGCGTCTTCAAACATATTGTAAACATATTGGGCTTAGATGTGTTTTCTAAATCAAACTATAAAATTACTCTTTTTGATCAGAGCTCAAGTTTCAGAAGGGAGATGAACTAGGGCTGAAAAGCGGTTTTGTCGCGTGATGAACTTTTTCGTCTCGGTTGTGAAACTTGAACTCAGGTCGAAAAGAGTCACTTTACGTCCTAATGATGAAACATACTATATTGTTTTCTGTAGTTTTTTAGCCTCCTCAAAAGAGTTTTTACTTTTCAAATTAAACCCTGTCACAAATTAAGTTGCGGCAGGATACCTTACCATAAGGGTAAACAACACTATGGCTGGGGAGGTCTAGTGGATTTATTTATCCATTAGCCTGCTTCAACACAACTTGAGATAAGGTATACCTATATTCATCCTACAGAAACTTTTCCTAATTAAGTTCTAACTTTGGTCAAAATCCGTCAGGTTTGAGAAAGGAAGTCATGGAGATGATGCGGCGTTCGATGGGCCTGGGCAGACGCTAGCGCACGCCTACTACCCCATAGCCAGCAGATGGGGTGGAGACGCTCACTTTGATGACACTGAGCGGTGGACTATAAACTCTGCACAGGGTAAGTGAAATAATAAGATTAAATCACCCTTGAGTTCTAGTTAGACACTAATTACTATTGGAAAGTATGGGAAGGAGCTGGTCTAGTGGTTAGAGCTTGTTTTATCTAAATGATAATGCCGCAACCCCTATGTCTAGCCTGAAGGCATGCCTAACGTCATTGGACTATACAAGTACTACAAGTGCCTTAGTGCCTTTATGCTGGGGAAGTACTGTTGATTTCTCTATTTTAGGCACATATGAGGAAATCTAAAGGAAGTGCCTCTACAGACAGGCAAAGTAGTTGACGCGGTTACCTGCAGAAAAGTATATGCTTTGCTTTAGCGAATTTTCCTTCCAGGGAATAAGCAATTGCCGTAGGTCTCATGGTAAAACCTGCACCCGGGACCGATTTACTTCCTCGTTTTGATGTCCCCAGAGGCCAAAAACACTATCCGTTCAAATGTATATACATATAAAGCATGATAACTCGATAAAGCATCCGATTTTGATTAAATTTGGTAAAAATGTGTAAATTTACGTTTATTCGAACTAGCATGATCGGACCATGAGAACGGGAACTTATGGGGGGTTTTATGGGGGCAAAATTGGGTTTTCCCATTTTTTACCCTCTAAACAACAGATTTTTCAATATCTCTCAAAACCATTTTTAAGAGCTTAAAAAGGAATGAAACACTTTTTTCATACTAAGCTATTAATATCTAAAAAAAAGCACACGTCATTACCCTCCCTAGTAGCAGCAAACCTAGGTACTCGCTAAGCCTAATGTTATTCAAATCAATTTAATTGGAAATCCAATTTGCTTAGTCTACAGGTTTGCATCGGCGGGCGGGGGTATTTATTTATTGTATGTTATGCATATTTTTTATAGGCCTGTATTTTAGATGTGTGCATATTAATCTACGCTCTGTCCCCAAAATTCAAAATAACAGTATGCAAATTATTTTATTGATAGGTATGTGTATAAACAGTGGGAACATTATTAGATTTGCATAATTTGAATTATTTTTATAGTTTTTGTTTACAATTTGGAAGTACTTACATGTGTTTGGATTATACCATAAAATATACATGTTTTTTCTTTCAAAGAAATTATTTTAGTCACATATTTTTACAAATGTGATGTAATAATGTTTACACCGTTTGCTTTGTTATTCAAATTCATAATCATACTTTACTTATAGACTACCAATTTCCCGATGGTTTATACGCTATCCCTGTGAGAAGGACGGACACTCTGCTAGTATTTAACATCGCTATGTAGTAGTTATTCAGTTTGCAGTCTTGCTAACTGATTTTAGCTATTTTTACGTAGTTGATGTTTTTCCACGAAATGCAATAACTGAATAAATTAGGCCACTTTTACACGATGCAAGTAGGGCAGGCAGGTTACGGAGCAGGGTACTTGCCTCTAATGTATTTCAAGTTACCTGTAGACGGTCGAGGTACCAGCCTCAGGTAACTTGAAGCAGGTACCATTGCCATTGCTACTACTGCTCTGCCACGTTTACACGAGGCCTAAACATAGATGAAGTAAATCTATGGCCTAAAGACGTTTTGCATAGATGCTTAACCTCCAGTAGCCTTAAAACTTAATCAACACAAAGAAATAGGTCCTAAAAAGATTTAGTTCCCCTGATAATTTAGTAAGCGTTATCCTTGTTTGAGTTATTTTTCGCACAAACTAATCTAAAACTGTGTTTTAGGTGAAATTAATTATCCACTGCTAAACAAAATAGGTAGAGATTCCTTTATAAGCCAAGGCATATTTCAAAAATGTTGTTCCATCTAATTAACAAACCTGAATCTGTTACAGGGACGAACCTTTTGCAAACTGCTGCGCATGAAATTGGCCACTCTTTGGGACTCGACCACTCAAACATCGTGGGTGCTCTCATGTTCCCTACACTTAATAGCTATCAACCCAACTTCGAACTTCATGAGGATGACATTAAAGCTATCCAGGTACATAGTCACTATTAAAAAATGTATTTCATATTTCGATATGATTTCAGTATATATCTGAATATTTTTTACATATTTAAATAAATGGCAAATTCACTTGTGCTTCACGAATGGGTGAGAATGCAGAAGATCACAGGCTCTAAACATTCCCATACATAATGTCACATTGATGTATGAAACATAAACGTAAACAAATAGCGTCAGTAACTCAAAAGATAAACCAACTTTGTTATTATAATGGGCGTACGTAAACGGAAAAGGAGTACACGTCTAAAAAAGCTCAAGCCTACCGTTAGACTTTGGCTTGCCACTGAAATGGAAAGACAAATAAATAAATTTACCTTAATGTTCGTCAAAGTAAAAATCAAAACCAATTTGAACTGGGACGAACATAACGGTATTTTAAAGCTCTATAGATAAAATTAGTCTCAGATTAGATTTGTCATTACTGTAGTCTGCTGAAAATCCAAACATAATGCACAAAAGGTCATTACAAAGTCCAAAGATAATGTCTTATTGTGCTGTGAGCAGAACAGTGTTTGTGTTTTCTTTCTCCAGCTAACAGAAACGCAAAACTGTACCTCACAATGTTCTGACAAGATGAATAGTTTTTTTTTTTTCATTTTTACGGAAATGTTCAATTGAATGGCCCTAGAAAAATCTAATTTTCATAACCTATATAATAAGAACATTAGACGATATTGATCGAATAATACTAGTTTGTGCTTAATAGCTTATCCAAATCCAAGAATAATTAAGTTTCGATTTGTCATTATTTCTCTTGAACTAACTGTGTTCTGTATTTTGCAGAGACTCTACCCAAGATAATATCCCTGATTTTGGCTGACGTCTGCACCAAAGGCGATAGACCAGAACAATCGATACTATGCTTTTAAATCAATGTATTTAGATTGTACTCCTGGTTTTGGATCTTACATTTCTGTAATTGTTATTATTACTTGTTTTACTTGACGACTATCTGTGATTTATTATATATAGATACTAGTTTTTACTCTCCTTTATTAAATTAAAGTGGGTCTTTTTTATATGTGTGATGGGTTTCAATGATTTTCCTGAATGGTTCTAGGGTCTTTAAATATATGTATTTTTGTCTACGGAAGTTTATTTAGGTATCCTTTGATCCACTCTGCAGGGCGAGTTTTAATTGTCCCCCCTCCAACCTTTTTCTATCCCAGACCACTTCCAAACATTGTTGGGTGGTAAGTACTTAATTTTGACAAGGTGGTCATTTCCGGCCGCCATCTTGGATCCGCCATATTGGATGCGAAATATTTTTTCAAATGGACAGGTGGGGTTGTTGTTCATTATTTCAAACTAGATTTTTACCCTGATTATAATCCCGCAATCTGTTTAGAAAAATCTTGACCCATTCCAAAGTTATGAGGACTTTTTATAACTTTATTTTTAGCCCATTTTAACATTGTGCATTTACAAACTAAGACAATAATCTCAAAATAGTGCTAGGTAAAGATAAGTATACACCACCAGTCATTGTCGACCTATTTTCACTTGGTTATGACTGATGTAATTTTTTCGGCCACTATCTTGGATCTGCCATTTTGATATGTGGGTAAATTATTTCATATATGAAACTGGTGTTGTGACCCATAATTCCGAATTACATTATTAAGCTGAACTCAATGCCGCAATCTGTTTTGGCTATCAAGTTTTCTTTGTGAAATATTGGTTTTTTTTTTAAATAAAACTGTCAATATTTCAAAAACAAAACATTATTTGGGACAATGAAAACTCACCCTGTATGTTCTAGCTAATATAAGTATTTGGAAGGAGTTAAAAATCAAATCTGTATATACGAGGAGTGTTCAATAAATACTGACGATAGTGTTCATGCAAACAAACGAAATACAACAATTAGTTTTTTTCCAAGTTGGTATGAAGCATTGAAGTATTAGCAACAACTGAATCAGCTGTTAACATTATAACATACTTATTGTTGTCATGGCAACCGATTAATAAACAGTTGCAAATTGTTTCCTCTAGTTTACTATGGATGATTTTCGTGAGCAAAGATATGCAATACAGTGTTGTGTAAAACCACGATTAAAACTGAGGAAAAGTGCTACGGGTAGCACAGGGTAGTGATAAAATGAGTGAAAGCACCTGTTTTAGGTGACATAAAGACTTAAAAAATCTACAGGAATTATGTGAGTTGGAAGGTGGACCGATGCCAAAAGCAATGGTGATTACGTTCTTTGATTATCATGGTATGGTGTATACCCACACTGTACTACAGGGTCAGACAATTATATGGGAAGTACTACATTTTAGCATTGAAACAACTAATCCAAGACCACATCACATCCCCAAAAAAGTGGCCAGACCTCGTCAGACGCTGGAAACTGCATCATGACAATGCTCGCCCCCATGTGTCAATACCGTGCTTCAGTTTCTTGCTAAAAAAGGAATCGACACTGTGCTACACCCCCCCCCCCTAAAGCACTGATCTGGCTCCTAATTACTTTTTTCTGTACCCTCAAGCCAAAAAGGAGCTCAAGGGCCAACGTTTCCCAACTGCTACTGCAGCTGTTAAGACTTTGGAGGTGATTTTGAACGTTGTGTTTTAAGGAGGGCTTTGAACACGTATTCAAGAAGTGGCAGAGGCGCTGGAACAACTGTGTGGCTTTTTATGACACTCGAAGTAGATACAAGTGTTAAAGTCTAATCTTTTATATTAAATGTGTTGACAGAGTACTACCAGTCTTTATTGAACAGCCCTCGTACTTCAAGTTTAATTCCTTAAAACCTTCGAGCGTTGAATATTATTTTGGCCGATTATTTAAAAAAATTTAACAAAATGTCCCTATAGCTTTTTGTACTAATATTAGTGGCTCTGCTCGTGCTATGCAACGACTGCTATGTAAATACTGAAGAGAATAATTTGGCTCGTTACATTTTATGTAAAAAAAAAACAGTCACTTACTCATTGATTTTAAAGGCAAAGTACAACAGTACTTATTGCATGTTTTAAAAGTCAATAATTATAATAAGGTCTATTAACCACACTAACATCATCCCCGCTGTAAATAAAACATGTGATTGGAATGTTTTCCTATTGTTTTGATTTTCTGTTTATATATCTTTGTTATTTCGTCACCAGCATGGCAACCCATAAGGCCCATATTAATTTTTTGAAGCCTATTTTATACCTTATTTTTGAGCCTATGTTAATTTATTAAGGGATTCTGCACATCTACAGGAAAATATATTTCTAACAGAATGGGTGTATTTTCTCTGCGATGCACACACGAGCTGAGCAAGGTTTTCAAGAAACATGCTTGCCTATTAATATAGAGGATACTTGGCCGATGTAATTGAACAGTGTTAATGATGCGATGAACATAAAACTAACAAATTGGTTTCAGTTTTCCTCTCAAACCTTATCACAACTGATGATAATGCTTGAACTTTCGATCGAAACTATCTAACATAAATAAATAATACCATAGCCTTCTCTAACACAAGAATTCTCATAGACGAATGGGTTTATTAAAGTCATAATTGAATAGATTTTGAGTATGCATTAAAAATGTTGATGCAATTTTTTATGCAAATAGTTCGATGCAAAATGAAATAAAATAACGAAAAGAACTAATTTTACAAAGAATTTATGGGAGGTATATAAATATGAGCTATTGTGGATGTGATTTTAAAAAGGTAAATATTTTTCGTCAGTTAAGAAAAGCTATGGGACTGACAATACAATCTAACACAAGGTAATTAAATTGAATAATGTACAACTCCGAATCGCAATGGATATTTGTAATTGTTGCTAATTATAACCAGAATGCTGCAGAGTATATTGCAGCTAAAGTTCGTTTTTTGTAGAACAGATAGAAAACCTAACCTTCCTGAACGATACTTTAATTTTCCTTTCATACAAAGAGGACACGGACTCTAAAAATGTTTAAGTCCTCAAATCAACACAAGGTACTCAATCCAGATGAACAACGGTCAAGGTTTAGACGAAGTAAAGTTGCGAAACCAGTCCTCGGACCTGAACTTGCTCAGTCGTCGGCCATGGTACGTGATGCGTGCCAAAAGTATTGCCAAGGTGTTTCTTTTACATTTTATTCATTTATTCATTCGCAATATACTTTATAGTTGTCATTTATTTTGTTAAATAAAGGACTTTTTCATTTCATTTAAATATACTTTTAACATTATGATAATGTTCGGGCTTCGCCAATATTTGACAATGCTTTGGTTTTGTCAAAACATACGAAAATCTACTGATAGTGGACATAAAACGCAGAATCTAGTATAATAATCGTGTCAGCTGAGAAACGGTGTTTATTATGACTGATAAACTGTGCTTGACTATGGTAAAAGTCGGTTAATTAGGACGGGTGGACATGGGATTTTACAGAGACTTCCTTATAGTATTAAGGAGAGGTCTTATCTATATATTAATAGGCAGAATGTTTCTTTAAAACCCTTTTTTCTCAGCTCATGTGCATTGTAGAAAAAAAAAACTACGCATACTGTTGGAAATGTATTTTCCTATAGGTGAGCAAAATCCCTTCAAAAAAATCAAGTAGACTAAAAAAATAAGCACAAAAACGAATTTAAAATTTTAAAAATTAACATGGCCTTATGGGTTGCCATGCTGGTGACGAAATAACAACGAAATATAAACAGAAAATCAAATCAAATGGAATAAATTACAATCACATGTTTTATTTACAGCTTGGGGTGGAAATACAGGAGTCTGTACATTATATATTTTTGGTCGAGTTTTCGACCACTTCACGACCTCCTGATTGTAAAAACTCCAGCTACAGATAGACCCTAACAATACTTTGAACAATGTTTTCATATAGAACACACTGTATTCAAATAACAATGAAAGTATGCAAAGTGATTGTGTTGGTAATATAAACAATTTACCAACTGGTTAAATACAATCTGTCTTTTCTATATTACAGAACCGAATAATGAAAAGTATGAATTCTTAATAAAAACACATATTTGAATTTTTACTATGTTGATTCTTATTTCTGAATTTATTAATGCCTCCACTTATTGTTGCAATAATTAATCACACTGTTATTAATCTCTTAACATTTAATATAAATAAATAAATAAATAAATATGGTCAGGTTTATTTTGTACCAAATTCCTTGTGAATACCCAAACGCCATGTGGTCGTCTATTTTTTTCAGCTGACTAAATATATTTCATGTCCGGTGATTTAAAAACTGCATCTTTGCTGATTTGTAGGACAAGCCCTGAACCCAAAGTAAAGTTATAGGACATAGTTTCGTTGGAAAAACCTTTCGCTAAAATGCTGATGGTTATTTTGTATTACATATTATATAATTCATTGTTATTTTATAGACGAAATATTTAGTAAACCCTAGAAGAATATTTGTCCAATATCGCAAAAAATGTATTTTTTCGTAAGTTATTTTATTTACAAAGCTAGGCCATATTTAAATAGCTACAGATATTCTCGCAAATTCGGTAAAACGAGTTTAATCAGTGCTCTAGTTTTCCCGGAGTAGCCCGAAACCCGCCAGTTTCCTGGAGTTTTCCCGGTAAAAGTAGCATTTTTGCATTATAGACACAAACAGATAGACAGAAATCGAAATAAGAATCGCACCGACATTTAGGCTAAGCCTATGAAACGTAAAATATCCAATAATTCCATGGTCTAAAAATATTTAGAGATAACTGTAAACTTATGTAACATACTGTATATCAAACATTTAAAAATTGTTGAAAAGGAATACGCTATGTTATAGGATATATATTTCTTGAATTTTATACCTCCTATTTGTATTTGGCAGTGTATTTGATTCAATCAATCCATCGCCAAAGAATTGAAAAAACAAAGAATCTAAAGTGATGAGAACATGTTAAGTATCAACTGAGCATTGACGTATATATAACTTAATTGCATTAACAGTCAATTTGACACGGTATTTACAATGGCATATGTATCAGAGTGAACAATTTTGCTCAAAGGGCGTGTCTAAGGTACCACCAATATTCCTATACTATCATACAAGTGTATTTCCGAGTGAGCAAAACTATTTGTAGACAATGAATATCATTTGACTTTTACTTAACAGATGTTGATAGGCCTACTGTTGTTCAGACTTCAAATAACAGAAAATCATTGTTTGATATGCCATGTCTAACTATCAAAATTCGTACAAATAATGCATTCCGGAATGCACTTTACGCTGAATTCTACAAAGGCCTGAAAATCAGCGTACATAAAGGAGATTTTATATAAACAAAAATTATATGTTTCATACATGTGAGTTCAGGACGCAACCTTCATTTTTCCCCATATTTCCGGACACCTTCAAGAGTAACAAGGACCCTGCACGTGTTAATCAATGACCTATCAACATGGGCAACTCTCAAGAGGATAGCTAACGACAAAGAAAGCTTTGTAGGTTTGGCGATATGCTTATCCGAGGCTAACGACATAAACATAGACAAGAAGGAAAATACAACTGCAATTCTCTAGATAACCTTTAACGTTTGGCATTCATAAAAGGGTTCGGGGAAAGCTCTCTGAAATTTAGAACTCACTCCAGTAAACCATGACAATAGCGTTAGCAACAATAATAATAGTAATTCGTGAATTTAAGCGAAGTGAAGAAAACTACCAACCAAACAAAAATACAAAATGATATTTTTTATATTATACATTATCTGCATAAATCTGTGACAATTCATGCGTCAGAGAATTTTCGTTGGTCGATATATGCAAAATTGCAAGTTTTCCTCCCTGAATGTCCTTCGGATAGAACGTTGAGAACGAGGAAATCCCGACCTTACCCCCTCCAGCTGGAATACCCGGTCCATCCGGTTCTTGCTTGAACTACTTAACTGACGTACTGAGTAGGGATTTTGTAAATATTCAAAATACCCCAACTAACCCTGCCATCCATAACTTAACAGATGTTCTGGAAAAGCTGCGATTAAATCGCCAAATGAATTTGAAACAAGAGTTCTTTGTCCGTGTGTTTGCAGATGGATGTAAACATTCAGTAGAGTTTAGGTCGTCGTATGGACAACAGTGTCTCACATTGGCGGGATTTTGATTAGTTGAATGTCAAATATGATTTATACTTCAAATTTTGAGTATGTTTTTGTTGTGTGTGCATTTGTGTCAAGCGGTCTTTCTGCGCCGGTTCCTTCGCGCTCGCTTGATTTAAGTGTAAGTACCGTAGCTTACTGTCTTGTTAGCGGTTGTTTGAGATTTGAGCTGAATCGCAATGGATATTGTGTCTGGCTTCAGGTAATATGTGATATTTTGTCACGGAGGACATAGCTAAAAGCAGCTGATGTCGAAAGCCTAGCTAGTCCGAGCTCATCAAAAGCTGACCTTTCACCCAGATAACACTTAGTTTATTTCAAAGGCAAATAATATTTACCAGGTATAGTTCGGCCGCTTGGAAAGCGACCTGCGCGCTAATGCTAAACCAATGCGAGGAGGTCGCTTTCTAAGCGGCCGAACTATAATAAAGAGTATCATCAATTTGACAAATTCAGTGTTTTATTTTACGTTCGTTTGCAGGATCTGCAGTCATCTTTTGACAACCTACGTTCAAAGATTGGGAAAGAAGGAGCAAATTTTCACTCAGAGTTTCATTTTAATGTAACCCAAATAGAGACAACAATAGATTCATCTGGCCACACAACATCGACAAAAAGAAGTTTCTCTGTAAGCATTATTTAAAACAAACTTAGAATAAACTAGTCATAAAATATCTTTCAACAAAATTGCATTCGTTTCAGTCTAAATGTTAACACTAAAATTAATACTGGGAAGTGAGCTGGTTTAGTACGGTATGTGAGCATCAGACTTCGAACCCTAAGGGTTCATGTTCAAATCCCTCCTATCACCAATGGATTTTATCTAAGTGATAAATGCAACAACCTCTAAGCCTAACATGAAGTAATTTACAAAAACTTTTTTGACCAGAGCCTAGTTTATAATATATTTTTTATTTGCCAAACAATCATTTACAGATTTTGTAGTAAACTGGCTGCACATTTAAATTGGAGTTTTTTGTATAATGTAAATAAACTGTCTAGGCCAATCATTAAACCAGAATTTAATTAACCTAGTTGGTTATATTGCAATATTGGTAGATAATCATATTATTAAGATCTACTAGCCAAAACATCATCAGGTTAAAATATGTCATGTTGTGCTATCATAAGTAATCATTTGTATGTGAGCTTTTTAGATCTATATTTTTGTAGCATGTATGATAAATAAAGTCAGAAAGCAAAGGTTCATATGACAAAAATTGAAGCTCGATCAAGTATCAATTCGACTTTAAAATCAATATTTTTTAACAAAAGTATTTTTCTAAGTTTTTAAGCTAAAATATTGTTAAGACTTTTTATAGAACCATATCGAGAACAATAAATAAAATAAATAATAAAGATGGATAAATCACAATAAAGAAGCTACAATTTGATTCTCAACACTTGCTGCTCGGATTAGTTTTTTATTCAGTTTTAATAAAAATCCAAACAAATCATCTTATTATTTGACTTTACAAAATGAGTAGTGTGCTATGCAGAGAACCAGTTAAATTCTAACATAACCTTACAGAGTCATCTAGCGCAGTTTGGATACCTTCCGGAAGCAACGGATATATCTCAGATATTGTCTGGAGACATTATTGCCAACGGGATCAAGGAATACCAGAAGTTCATGGGAATACCAGTTACTGGTAAGTGGTAATAAAATAATTATCAAAGAGTACCAGCAGTTCATGGGGGTGATTGCCAGTTGCTAGTAAGGGATTAGGAAATAATTTTTAAAGAGTACTAGAAGTTCTTGAGAGGGATGATTACCAGTTAATGGTAAATAGTTATGAAATAATGATCAAAGAGGAATAGAATTTCATAAGGTCGCTACCATTGAAATAGTGATAAAAGGGCACCAACCAACCAAGAAGTTCATGGGAATGTCAGTTACTGGTAAGCGGAGATAGAAAGATTACCATTGTGATGTTTAAGATTGCCAAATACTAGTAAGTCTTTAGTAAATAAGATTCAGAGACTGTCAGAAGTTGCCAGCTACATAAAATGTTTTGAGAAGAATCACCCACACAACAGGAAAATGAAACTTAATGACACAAAAGGAGAAAATATACATAGTGATGTCTTCTTAACAAGAGAGATGTGCCCATTTAATCCAAATTTACAACATTTCACTTGAAAAATAAAACTGAGGTTTTTAATCAATCAAGTGCAGACTACAGACTTGGGAACTGCAATAATCTTATCTTAGAATGACAAAGACTAGAAAAATGTAATAATAAAAGGTTATTATTAGAATTTCATATATTTTAAATTTTTATATTTCTTTCTTAAATTGCTTCTGTTCCCAATAAAATGCGATTGAAAAGTCTTGTCTGTAAAAAGATCAAATTCTGTTATTTTGACAAAACATGTTTATCAAAATCATTTCTTATAGGGTGCTTTTTGTGTAGAAAACTAGTGTGTTATCTTTAAACTGTTAAGAAAAATGAGGAAATGTAGAGGGACTCACATTTGGATACGTATGGAGCACCAATGGGGTTACGATCTGTAATGGCAATGACTCTTATGGTACACTATGACCCTCTCTGGATGCGGTGCTTTGCAATCTACCCAGTAGTCTACACTATTTCTTCATCTTCTTCATTTCTTCAGCTCCATTTATCCTACAATTATTTTATATGGCCAGTTCATTTTTTTATGTATAACTAATGCCTAGTTGTATAAACAACTTGTCGAATTATGGCGTTATTCTTCAGGTAAATTTGATCAAGCCACCATCCAGCAGATGTTAAAACCAAGATGCGGGTTACAAGACAAAACTCCTCCAGGCTCAAAAGGCAGTAAATTCAAACATGGAGGTAACTATAAAATTATGGATTTTGGAACAGTTTTATCTCTAATGTCAGGTCAACAAACCAGTTTTACCGAGTTTTAAGAAAATCAATAAAAATATAATATTACCACTTAAATACCGTTCCAATGCTGTTTGTCTCTTGTTTCTTTGCTTCATATTTAGTTAGTCCAGTTGAATTTATTACTTTCATAGAGCAAAATGTTTAAAATCTCTAAGTTTCAATTACTATTTTTAATACGAAGATAATGTTTCCTATATGTGAAAAACTGCATGAAAATTAAAATTGAAAAATGCAATCTTTTGAATAAAAGGTTAAATACCTGTAGTACTTGTCCGTGATCCTGTTTTTCAATCTTTTGAATGTATTCTCATTATCATTATCAGTCTAAAGTCAATTATAACTATGGACGTCTATCAGTATAGCCAAGAGGGGCCCAACAGCTCCCTAAAGACGGTGACACACTATCGATCTTTTCCCCGAACAAGACCCCGAACCGAGCAGGGAGAAGGGAGAAGGGAGGTCGAAGGGAGGATGTTCGATAGTGTGTCACGGGTCCGTACACCGATCAAGACGCCGAACAAGACATCAGGCCGAGCAGGGAGACGAGCGCTCTGGAGGCGGTTTTTTGGCGAAAGATCAAAGAAAAGATCGGTCCGATGTACGGTCCGATGTACGATAGTGTGTCACGGTACATTTTTGCCCCGTACATCGTCGCGAGCGCCGCACCGAGCGGCCGCCTGCGCTAGCATTGATAGTTCTGATTTAATATGGCAATTAAACTCTTTAATTGGTAAAATAAATAAATGTTGGGTAATATGTTGCCGTTATATATTATAATCATTTAAGATGTAATGTTTGTGGTTTGTTTGGTCAAGGTTGAAAGTGTAGAAACCGTTAAATCAATTATATCAATAATATTAAGGTTGAATTAAGTAATTGATGTTGACTTAAATTCTTTTAAAAATAATATAAACATTAATATTACTAAAGGCAATTAAAATGATCATTCTGTAACGTTATTTCAATGAATAAAACCAATAGAAATCAATAGATATAACTAAGCATCCTTTCTAGAATATTTTATTTTTGCGACAAGTTTTCAAAATGGGACTTTTAACGGCACTGCCTCCGCGCTCTCACTCGCACACACTCTCTATCTCTCTCCAAACTTCCTTTTGCCGCGCTCGGTGGAATTCGTCTGGTCTTGGTCATGTTCGGGGAAATGTTCGGAGTAAAATTTTGCTGATATTTATCTCCCTTCTCCCTTCTCCCTGCTCGGTTCGGGGTCTTGATCGGGGAAAAGATCGATAGTGTGTCACCGCCTTAAGGCCATGTCACACCGACATCCGCCGCTCCCGCCGCGGAAGTACCGCGCGCGGATGTTTTTCCTCGAGCCATGTCACACCAAAAGTTCGCGCCCGCGGCGGGAGTTTTGGCATGAGGTCATTACAATTCGTTTTACATAAGAAACTCATCTTACCTGTTTAGTATTTCATGTAAATTTGCAGGTTTTAAGTCAAGTGTTTAAGAAGCAATTGAATGTTTATTGATTTGTTAGTGTAGGGCTGCTTTAAAAAGTGAATAACTATTTTTTAAATTTAATTTAGACCTTGTGTTCGAAGCATTTTAAATATGGTTGTGGATAAATTACTGGAGTGTAATTAATAAATGGATAAATCCACTTTCATCTTTTGAACGTTATTTTTCGCTACACTACAAAAACTATTTACTTTTTAAATACAAACAGATGACCATTTAAAAAAAAATGTTATTTTTTGCTAAGCCTTCTATTGAAAATTCAAGTTTACATTGATTGTAAAGTTTTGGTTGTTGCAAATCAAAAAAGTTGATGAAACAATAAAAAAATTGTTTACGTCGGCAATATAAAAATGTTTATTTGAAACATCAAATTTTCACCGTAAACATTATTTTTGCATGGTAAAAAAATGATTTTTTCTGGTGATAAACATAATTACAAAGATAATACAAAACAACATAGACTACATCATCAAACAAAAGAAACATCTTAAATTTAATTTAAAACTGTATTACTTTTAAACTTTAAATAGCTTGGCCATTCGAAATGCCCCTTTGCGCATGCGCTAGACAAAACTCCCGCCGCGGTACTCTCAAAAAATCGCTCAGCAGGCGGACGTGGCGGACACTAACGCACGCCCGCGGGCGCGCGGTAGTGCGGTGTGACTTGGCACATTTGATAACATGGTGAGCGATTTTTCAAAATTCGCTCCCGCCGCGGAAGCGAGCTCGGTGTGACTTGGCCTTTGAGACGATACATAAATACAAATTTCAAAAACGTTTAAACAATTATGTAAAAACCCCATAAATTTGCAATACAAAGTAAATTTTGTTACAAATATTTTGTTAAGTCAACCATTTTGGACATACATTTTAAATATTTCCCAGGGGAGGACCCCTTAACCCCCCCCCCCTTTTACTTGGTGTTATACCATACCCTCAAGTTCCCCAACCCCCTTATACAGTTAGATGGACGCCCATGATTATCACAATACAAATAATAATGGACAAATCTCAATTTTAAGGTAGTAGATGGAGTAAAAGAACTCTGTCTTACAAAATCGGTAAATACTCCAGCAAGCTACAAAGGGATGCCACAGACAGAACTATCAGGAAAGCTCTAAACATGTGGTCAGCAGTTACCCCCCTGAGGTTTGTGAGGAAGACTGACGGACCCGTGCATATAGAAATCAGGTGATGAAGGTTTCCTAAGCTGTGATTCACAGTCAATTCTATTGTATACTTTACTCAAAATATCTTGAGCAATGGTATACTCTGTTAATGGAGCAAAAATGAATATCCTGCTAATCCAAATGTATAAATTTAAACAATTCAATATTTATATTCCAATCATTCCTCTTTGACTGTTTGTAAGTAGTGTATTGGCTGATGTCATGTAGCTCATTTCTAGGACTGTTTTAGTAATTTATCGATTACAAAGATAAATAAAAAAGGTTTATGTTCCTCTTTTATTCATTGCTATGACTGATATTGTATGCTACTAATTTCTAATTTAGTTGTGTAAGTAGTTGAAATATAACAGTCAGAAATATGCTAGTGTAACATTAATGGTACATAGACAAATGAAGGGGTTCTGTATTGAGTTTTTTTCCATGCATTTACAGCATACAATATTTTAACAATATTTTATCCTGTGATAAGATGTGGATGTTATATTGAATATTTTCCTCAAACTTATTATCTTCTCTTTGTTCACAAGCACAAGGTCATGTTAATCTACTTTTCCTCCTCACATGATAAATCTTTTGACCGTTTAGCATCATTAGATTTACTGAAAGAGCTATGTGAGGTATTATTCATAAGCAGATTTAAAAAAACCTCATTACTACAAGCAATCAGTTTCGAAACCATTCAGGTTACTAAACATTATTTAACTAGTCTTAAGCATCGTACATTCTGAATTCTCTGCCACCTCATTTTATGTCTGCATACTTACTTTGTGAACAGGTTGCTCATAGTTTTTTGTGATCTTTACTTTAAAGATGTTTTGTACGCATAAAATATATGATTATTGATTAAACAGATTTGAGACGGGAGATCATGGTGATGACGGAGCATTCGATGGACGGGGTAATACCCTAGCTCACGCTTACTACCCCATAGTCAAGAGATGGGGCGGAGATTTACACTTTGATGACGCAGAACACTGGACCATCAATGATTCAAGAGGTATTAGCATAGATTAAACATACTAGCTACTCTCATACTCCTTCACAATATTTAGGCGGTTTGAGAGGAAGTGATTCCATTTCCCACACTTCAACTAACACCAGTGGACTGCTGATCATCAACTAAACACAAACCATAGCTTGTCCCCTTGTTATATAACCAAAAAGTAAAGTACAAAATGAACTTGAGCCTAAAATAATATTAATTTGTCGACACTAGCGCCCAGTGTCACCAACATGAACTAGACACAAAAAATGAGCTTTAAATTTTACGATGGGACTTCTCGTCTACTTTGTGTTGGTTAGACTATTGTATTATGTAGCTCAAAGTCTAAGATAACAAAAGTATCACATGTCTGATTAAGTTCAAAATCCTCTTGATTCTATCGCGATGGAGTTTTTCAACAAGTTCCTGTAATAGTTTATCTATTGCTTGTGATTGATATATAAATTGCATCGTTAAGGCCAGCTAGACAAACCAAAGAAAATTAAACATGTTTGCCAAACACAGGTGCAGTGTAGCTTGCATAAAGTTGTTCCCACAGTACAAAGAACAAGACTGTATACCAAAGAATAAAATTTCTTGACATGTTTTTCCATTGGTAACAATGGTATGAAAGTAGATTTTATTGAAATGTATCATCTTCCATATTTTTCATCATAACTCCTTCAAGCCAGGCCATAGGGTACAGTTAGTAAAATTTCTGTGCTTTGTGCATTCACTGCTCTGGGCGTTACCCAACCGTTCCATCTACAAACACTGACAAAAAAAATTAAAAAATTCAATACCTCATAACAAAAAATCATGCAAAAGAGAAGTTAGCTTTGTTGCTTTTACACATTCACTGCTGAGTTCTGAGTTGCCCGAGACCATATAAAGTTCATCTACAAAAGTCAATAAACCCTTTTAGTAATTACTGATATCATAACAGATTTACATACTACATTTATATAACAAAAGACAATTTTGAATGGAGATGATGATGTTGATGATTGATTAGTTTTTTTTTCTCATTGATCAGGAAAAAGTATTTGGTAAAATCAAAATTTTATGCAACCACCTTTTCAGATAGAGCGGTCATTTACAAGTGCAGTATTGACCCCATGGCCTTAACCTAAGACTGATAGGGAAGAGTCGCTCGGTAACTAAACCATAAAACCGTAACCTTTTCCTTATGACCGATTAATCGATGAACAAGTTTCAAACTGAAACTACGTCAATGATTGTATTAAATCACATTGAGCTGATCATGATTTCACTTACACTTTACTTATTTTCTTTTGACATTGAGATTAAAGTCAGTAGGATTTGCTTTGCTTTGAAAATGGTTTCATCAATATTAAAACAAAACATGCCAATATTTTTGAGTAACAAATAATCTGATTTGATTACAAAAAGGTATAGTGACTTTTGTACAAAAACAAAACCCAAATTACATGTACAGAGTCACTGTTTGGAAACAAAATAAGCTTGTGTTATTCTCAGTTTCAAGAACGAATGATGAATTAAATTGGTACCTTATAGTTGCCAAGTTCTTGAAGATTCTGCGAGCGTAGAAATCTTCAAGAACCTGGCAAGCATGAGATAAACCAATTTAACAAAATAAGCTTTTAAGATGGCAGTATTGCTTCCTTTTATTCATTAATGATCTGCTAAAATATGCATTTTTACATTGTTGTCTGTAAAAATGCATATCAGTTGATCGGAAAAAAGTAAGGGAAACAGGGCTGCCAATTTATGAACTGATTTTGTCTCTAATAGTTACTCTCTCTGTAAGTACGGTATTTTGATTTGGGTTGTGTTTGATAAAAAAACCACTCTTTATATTTAAAATTAAATGTATTCTTCAGGCATGTGTACATTTAGAATGTAATCTGTTTTCTACCTTCTATGTTTTTGTATTAGGAACAGACCTGTTACAAGTGGCTGTCCATGAGTTGGGCCACTCTCTTGGGCTAGACCATTCAAACAATAGGGATGCCATTATGTATCCATCCTATGGAGGTTACACATCTAAACTCAAACTTCATGACGATGACATCCGAACTGTTCAGGTGTGTACCTTAACGATTTTTAAATTGTTTTCTCTAAATCTGAGAAGATTAATCAGTTGGAGGATTTTAGAGGAAAACAGTTAGTTATCAAAAAACTTACAAAACCCCTCAAAGTATAATTTTTTTATTTCTACTTGTTACAGTTAGTTTTTTTTTTCACTGATGAAGATGTCAGTAGCATAGGCCATATAGGTAGATGATTTAAAACTTATGTAAATCATAGGCGACATTGGTCAATGGTTGTTTGAAGTTGCTATGCATTGATTTTCTCTTGTAGTGTGATGAATTTAAAGTTCAATATTAACAGAAATCTCAGTTAAATGTCTTGTACATTACTGTACAGTAAATAAATAATACATGACCATTTTAAAGTATGAGTTGTATTCTGTTAAATATCCAGAAAATATCTTTAATGATTTTATTTGTATCACGCTTTTGAGTCTCATTTTTACATTTAAGGAAAATATTTCACAGTGCAAAGAATTGATTTCATTAGAGTAACGTTAACAACTTGTTGTTATTTTTTTAAACTTTATTATTTTGATGAACGAGAAATCAAATTCAGCCGTATATTATGTCATTCTGTTTACAAACAATGAACAACAACAATAAGTAAGTGGTGAGGAGCCTCGTTGCGGAGTACAAGTGAAGTACAGATTCATACACAAAAACGGTCCTTACATAAAAACCCGCCCTTTACCTCGTAGATTAAACTTTAATGAGAGTGGCATGATGGTAGGTGACATGTTATTTTCAAGTAAAATGGATGTAAATTTCTGATTGCTAAGTGTTTAACTACACTTTTGTTGGGAGGAGTTTTCTTATTCCTGAGAATTTGAGTATTTAAAACCTTGGTGATGGGGAATGTCACCCATTTTAGCTTGAAATGAAAATTACTATCCTACACACTCAAGAACACAGTCATGTTGTTGTTGCTATTTTAAGAAGAATCCATACTCTAGCTTAAGAAACTTAAGTACTATTCTGTAGTAGTAAGATACCTAAATGATTAAGATTACTGGTATTCGATCTATTCTACCATATATGGTGTGATTATATGGTTATGGTTAGATATGGTTAGATTTTCTATCATAAAAAATTCAACAATTTATAGTTTTCACGTACCCGTCGAAAACTTATAACTTATTTCTGTTCAGTTGGCATTTAATGATTTATAAACTTCAAGTAATTTTATGTTCCAGAGGATCTACCCAGAATAACGGCTCTTGAACCAGATAGAAATTTTCCACTTCTAACTCTGGTGGTAGCAATAGGAGAAGTTCAAAGTAATGTAAAAAATCAATAAATTGAATTACTTCTCTTAATCTCTAATACTTTTATTTGCTCTTAGGAATTTAAACAATAAATAAACCTTAAAACTAGTGCTTACATTTCAATGTTTCTTAATATACATCCATTTTTACAGTTTCATACTCCTAGAAAAGGTAGTTTATATGCAATTAATCTTAATTATATCATGATGTGTTTTTATGTTTTGTTTAACTGCAGAGTAATAATTTCAAAATGAAAATAAGGTCTCACATTGAGCACATATGGAAGATGCAGTTGTAAATTTTGTTTTGTGCTTGATTGCAACTACATATTTAATGATATTGAGCTCTGGGGGCTCTTTAACTCAACATACTTCGATCCGTCTACTGACTAAAGTATAGGAATACTAAAGTTTGTTTTAGCTTTTCAATCAAATGTGTTTTCCCCCTACAGTATCAAAGAAATATTATGAAGATGTCAATGGAAAAAATTATAACATAAGTACCTAAATGCTAAAAGGCCAAAAGCTGTATGTTTACTGATTTAAAGTTACTTTCATAGAAATTAAAGAATATTATTAAAGTAAGCGTTGCTTTGTACATTAAGGATAAAAAACTTCTATGATAAAAATATTTATAAAAGTACAAAATAAATAAAATATAGTTTTGATTCGTACAATATCTTAAGCACATTAATTGAGCTATTACCACAGTCTCATAAAATACACAGCTCTTCATCAGAATATCCTCAGTAGAACCACAAACAGAAGAGCTATCAAGATGGTGGGTGTTATCGAGTTGGCGCTACTGGAGTGAGGGAAGGCCTCGGAATCCATCGGTCTGCTGTCCCTGATGGTTGGAGGGTCATCTAAGGTTTACCAAGCAAAACACATTGTAGTTCTCAATCATCTGTATTAGTCAGTTTGGACATTGGCACGTTCTGATTGAAAATAGTACCTATTTTTGCACATACAAAACCTTGACATCATTTGAATAAAGGTGTAAAGGTGTGTAGCAACACATTACAAAGAGTACACATCAGAAGAACTTAACAGTTAAAAACGTCAACAATCAAACATGGCAAATAAGTTGTACTCTTACACGAATGGCTTGAGAACATATACAAGAATAAATACTATGTTCATTATCTAAATAAAGCTAATTTTTTTCTTCTTTTATAACATTGAATAATTTAACCTTTATTGAGCTTAACACTTTGTAACTTTATACAAATAGAATTTACAAGGTACAGTAAAAGCTTGCAGGCTTTTCAATAAAATCCGCACATAATTGCGACAAATTGTCTAAACTGGGAGTCTTAACACTTAGTAACTACTTTTCACAGTTAAATACAAATATCACAAGTCATGTCATGATTACGACAAAGTTCATTTTGGCGCAGAGCTAGGGTCCAGCCAGCTGAGACTCGTCGGAAGACGTTACTGACGTTCCGCAGAGCGATAGTCTGCAGCAAAGAACGCACTGTGAGATGACGTGGCGTAGAGCGTATATACAGCGTATGTACAACCATACACACCAGAACATTAGCTGCGGCGGGCTATAACATCATACAGCACTATGTAACCACCATCACCTGCTTCTATTAACTTGCACATTTATCAGAAAACTCTCACGGTTTGACTTTAGATTTTCTGGTAGCTTACAGTGTTGGAAATGTAGGATTTTTATGTAATAAATTATTACTTTTCATCACACTGAAAATGTTCCAATATTTATTATATTTTGACCACCCTACTGTATTTAATTTGTCACGTTCGTTACTTGACTTTTCTTAGTTGGCATTCACTAGGCGAGCTAATTTTAGGCATGTTTTTGCTTTAATACATTTCTTTTATGTAGAACATTCATCATGCTCAAATTTAAAAAAAGACTTTTTAGTCATTTTGTCTTCTTCTGGGCTTTAAACTGTTACAAGTTTGACCTATGAAAGTGCCACTTAGCCTGAGAAGGTTTACATCTGCATGTCAAGGTTTCAAAACCCTTTCCTGATTTTAGCACTAATTTTACTATTTCAACCCTGGTAAAATTTATAAACAAAATAAATGTGCAAGATTACAAGTACCTTTCTAACAGCATTGAAGCAATAAAACTACTTTATAAGCATCTAAGCATTAAAAAAGCTTTATTCATGAAGGAGCCATTAATATTATTATTAAGTTATTTACACTTCAATTTTTATTTGTACAAAATGACGATAGAGTAATATCAATGTACTGTATGGGATTCAAGTACATTTTGTGTACTAAATTCATAAATGACTTGAAGAATTTCAAATTAAAATGAACAATTTTTATAACAGAAAAATTATGGGGAAGATGAGATAAAAAAACAAAAGCAGCAAATATAAATTTTTAAATCAGTTACTTATACCTATTTTTAACCAACAACACAAAAACTATATATCTTCACTTAGTAAATCGTAACTAATTTTTGGTACCGTACGCCTTATTTTAGTGAAAAATATTGACTATGAATTTTAATTTAGAAAAAGGGATTATGCACAGGTAGCACACGGGTATCTATATATTAAGTCCAAAGTACCCATGAACTTTTGAGAAAACTTCAAGTCACACTCCCATAAACCATCTATAAATAAAGCCCAAAGTACCCATGAACTATTCATGGGTAGCCTACTTTATTATGTTTTTTTTTTTTTTGTTTTTTTTTTACTCAAAGGCTTTGGTAGGTACCAAAGTTTTTGGATCTTACCTAATGCAATACTTCAATCTGTCCATTTTGTTCAAAACAGTTATTGAATGCAGTGAAAAAGCGGATAAATTATAGATTTTATCCAATAAATTACTTCTTACACCATAACCAAAATTCTTGGTAAACAAACTTTGATACTCAACAGCAGGTAAGTTTACAGCATAAAGTATACTAATTGCATGACTTGACATGGACAATTTTGACCAATGATAATTACTAATAGCTCTGATAGAAGCCAAATAAGATGATTTTCATTCAGTTTTATAACTTTGTTTCCATATTGCATAGCGCTAATACAACTAAATGTCAACTTAACTTAATAATGATCTTACATATTTTATTTTAATAAAAAGAAAGTTAAATATCTTAAATAGCAACATTGTCTTTTCTTTATACACCTGTGGTCTAGTAGAAACTGCACAACCCCAACTAGCATGTGCAACATGCATGGGGGTGATTTTGTCAAATGCATTCAAAAATCAAGTGACCCATTTCCAAAGGTTTTTAAATGTAAAGTAGGTCCAAACAATAAGAACTAACTATCGTGCTTTCCATTCAAAAACTGAAGTACCGTACCTTTTCCAACTTATAAACTAGTGTAACAAATTATTTAGCTGAACCGGATTTTGTATGTGCAAAATATACAATTCCAATACCATCTGTTCATAGATTCATACAAGCAAAAATCAGAACACACCAAAAATCCTGCAAGTATAAGTAAATATTTTAAATCAACAACACATGCATAAGAAATGTATCCCTTGACTCATGCATTTCTGATGGCATTCAAGCATTATGGTAACTAATTATGCATAGCTTAAAATATAAGTGTCAGTTACACAATATTGATTATCATTTTTTAACTATAAATGATTTGAAGATCAGTAAAATCTTGAGGATTCACCTCATTGTAGGAATATGTTATGTTATGACACTTATAACTTAAAAGTGCACTCCTGAAAAATCATGCAAATAATGGATTAAATACTGTAAGATAAAAATTATTTGAAATAGTGAGAAATTTTAGTATTGAGAACAATTTTTCTATGATTCTATAGAAACTTCAAGCCCAGTCTGTATAGTTTAGTTTACAATTTAAGTAATTTTTATTTTACAGTTTTTTAAACATGCAAATTATTAGTTTCCCACGATGGAGGCGATCACCAAAATATTTACACATTTCATATTCTAAAATGTACATCCAAAATTCTGGACAAACACCATATATATAGTTAAAAGCACCCCGCTGCCTTAGGGGAAATTGACTAACCAAAAACACTGCTATCACATAATTACTTGATGGAAAAGCAATAAAGGGGAGCTGGAACTCTAAATATTGGAGCAGATGTTAACCAAAGAATCAAGACCTATAGTAAACTTGTCTTCTGTTTAATTTGTTTTCTAACATTATTACCTTTAGAATGATTTTAAAAATCAGATATGAAAATTTCCAGCAGTTTCTAAAAGTATCTTATGTTAGAAGTAAAATTGTAATACTTCTATCTTCAATACAAATAAGTTGTGATTAACTGTGAAATATATTCAGACGTTACATTAAGCAAATACAATTTTTATTGCAATTTTATTTACGAGTGATTATAATTATTTTATTTGTGTACCTATATGAGAACTAAACAGCACTTTATAAATGGTAGGTCTGCATTATGTTAAACAATACCAAAAATTGCAGAAACAATGATGAGAATGAAATAAAACTGATATAAAAACAATTTATTAATCTAATAAAAAATAATTAAATTAACAGTATGAAGTTAATAATGGCTAAATATTCATCGCTAATATAAATAATTTATTATTGTAGTATCAGAAGGCAAAGTTAGTGGTTTATTTTAAATTGAATTATACTTAATAATGAATATTTTGCACATGGTGATTTAACTAAAGCCCCAAAATTGAAAAAAGGTAGAATTAAGAATAGGATTGCTTGGCGCTTAAAAATAATTTAGTAACCGTCCCAACTAAAACATGCATTTACCTAATACATTAAGTAAGCTCTCTAAGTCTCTCAAACATTTACTAGTTAAAGCGGTTTAATCTCTTCATTTTTTTTTACAAAATTGTCTAATAAGCTGAATTTTTTGTGTGGTGTCCTGATTATAGAAATATAAAATAGTACCACAATGACAAGAATCCTTTACTTGCTTTTTTACTTGCATTGTTATGAAAAATTACTTTTGTGTGAGTCCTATATAGGGCAAACATTACTTGAAACTAGAGCACTTCAGACTCCTCTTTTACACTTTTTTGGCCCAATTTCTATTTCTATTATTTATAACCTTCACGATGACAACATTTCACGAGGATTAAAATATCTTAATGCCGCGGAAAGTTTAAATTACTAGAACGGTAAGCCCCTCAAAAAAGGTTCTTGAGATGTTAATTGCTGTTTAGCACTAATATTTAGTTAGGACAAAATGAAGAGTAATTAATTATTTAAAATCCATTACAATGAGGCAATGAGTCTAGTAATGATTAGTAAGCGAGATTTTTGGTCCTCACCTCCATCGAGAATAATATCGCCAACATCGTCGGAGTTATCTCTATGCCTAGCTTCGTGTGCGTGAGAGCTACCACTATCTACTGTACCAGTGTATGAGCCTTTGGTCTCCGCTCGGCATCCGAACCACCAGTAGCCAGCTGGTCTGGGAAACGGAGGATCAGCACTGTCAACCTGTACAAACATTACTTTCTATTATAAAATAGAAAATTGTCTTTCCGTTTGAATCTACCCATTTATTTCCAAAATTTTGAATACTGTAAGTTAATCTAATGACAAGAATGTACCTAACTGAATACTGTATTGGTGCAACAGTATAACCAGTTTATGGTATGAGACATGTTCAGATGTAGTGTAAGCCAAAAAATGGGCGTTCTAGATAGACTAAACCACTCAACTTCTGGTTCTGAATAAATCAGCTGATACTTCAACGTCACCTTATGATGTGTTTGTGTACTCAACTAAGTACTTTTCAGTGTTTTTTAACCTTGATTTTAGCTGATACAGATGATGACTAGATTTGACATGTTTATACAGCCTATGAGGACGGCACTATACTTCGTTCGCAATATTTAGGCGGTTTGAGGGGAAGTTCCCCACCACTTTTTTTGTATTTATATTGTATGCTGCTTGATCAGCTGTTGAGCTATTATTTTAAAGGTAGGGGTCAAGTGGAAGGGATAGATTAATTTCTTCCCCCTAAAACCGCCTAAATATTGTGAACGAAGTATAGTTCAGATGACGAAACTATTGGCTGCAATTTAAAGAGGATTACCACAAAAGAATACTTACGCCATTTTCAAAAAATATAGTCAAAGTAAACTAATAGTGCAGACTATGGTCACCTAACACAAGAAGATAATCTGTCCACACTTGAAAAAGTCCCCCTATGAAGAAATATTGTGTGGTTATGTGTCTTCTGTGTGCCTACCGGTACCTGTACTTCCAGAAGATAAGGTACGCAAGACTCTACTATTTTACAAAGTAAGTTCACCAGAACAACCAGTACAATAAATCCACATTAAATTTACTGTTGAACAAAATATTTTAAGAATAGCGAATTATGAATTTCTTGTAGTTCAAACTTGAAATATAACAAACCATGAAAGCTCGATCGTTGAACCTCCAGTAGCTGCCGCCCTTGAAGAAGTAAGTGTAACCATTTGTATACTGCAGGGCTGCGTCCAGATCATTGGGCAATCCTTCCCAGTTGTTGATGGGCTTGGGGTACGTACTCTTCACTGGGGGCTTCTGGGTAGGATCAAACCTCCAGAACTTTGAACCTGAAAATATTCAAACTTATTAAACACACACAGAATTGCCGTAGAGGCTTCTAGATAGGATCGCATCTACAAAACTTAGAAACTTAAAATTTAAGAATAGAGCTTTAGTAATTAAAACACAGAATTATTGTAGAGCTTCGAAAGTAAGACATGTTGGCTGAAACCAATGAATAATACATTTCACTTCCAATCTTATATTTACTCTACATCTTTTAGGTCCCACTAAAATTGAAATTAACCCTTGAACGTTCAACAAAGCACATTAACACGTTGAGTGCATGTTTAAGCGTGTTACTTAACGTGTTAAATAATACAAATTTGTTTTGTTACCTTTGTAGAAGTATATTTTGCCGTTGCCGCCCCAAACCATGGCTGCATCAATGTTGTTAGGGATGCCGGTGAATCCATCAGATATCTCTTTCGGATAGTCTCCGTCCATCACTTTCCCCGTGTACCTCCAATACTTGGTTCCCTTGAAGAAGTAAGTTTTGCCATTCTTGTATGTGAATGCTGCATCAATGTTTCCTGGGAGGCCAATCCAACTCTTGGATATCAGTCGAGGATAGCCTTTCTCTATACTGGTCTCAGTCAGCTTCCAGTAGTATAGACCTGATATGGAATTTTAATTAGTTTGTTGAAATAGAATGAATATCTGGGGAAAATGTTATTTAGATCGGGTCTTACAGTACGGTAGAGGTGTGAAAGTTATTTGAGATACAATTATCAGAGCCTTTACTTGTTAAAGAATATTGCTTCTATATTATCAGATATTGTTCTACAAGTAATTGCAAATACCTTAGTCGTGTAAAGTTTAAAACCGTTAATCAGATATCACATATGTTTCAGCTTTTACACCATGTTTATCAAGCACCTTTTGTAAGGAACCTAGTTAACCACTGCAACTTCATCAACAACACATAAACACAAAAATAACACACACCCCATAGAAATAGGGAACATTAAAATTAAAGATAATCAAACTCGGAAACCAACAAAACCACGGTCATGGGCAGTAACACACTCAGGGTTATAACACCAAATGAATCGTTTGAAACTGCAGACGTTCAAGATATTTATTTAGGACTATAAATATGGTGTTAAAAAGATATTATTCCCTCACCTTTGAAGACGTAGGTGACTCCCTCGGCAGAGTTGAAGATTGTGTCAATTGTGGCATCGTTACACAGCTCGCTGTCTTCGCCCTCCTCATCAGGTGGAGCGTCTTTCGAAGGCTTGCCGTCAGAACCTGAACCTGATCCTTTGTTGGTCGAGTCCTTCTCTCCATACAGCTCCTTCAGTTGGCAATAGACATATTAGCATTTTACGAAGTTACAAAACCAACACATCACAGTGAATATTTTAGTGAAGAAGTATAGGATGAATGAGATCACAGCTTTACTGACTAAGATCAGCTGGTTTTTAGCAAGGATCATTTATTAAAAGTCACATCAAAGACAGCTGGGTCCAGTTTTTATAAATCAAAATCCACTGAATGTTCTTAGAATCGAATTGCAAAGCAATCTCATGATAGGCAACACTCTATCAACTCATCTAATTAGTTAGCATGATTGACGCCAGGACAGTTATAACAAATGGGCATAAAAGGATTTAGGATTTTTTTTCTTTTGGGGGCGCAAAGAGAACAATTCCGCAGCAGTGAAGGGGCGGAGGGGGAAGCAATGCCGAGCAGGACAGAAATGATGTGTATTTGTTATTGGGGAAACCACGAAAAGAATTCTCGTAAGTAGGTTAATATGCTAACGCCAGCATCATATTGTGATAATTCCAACTGAAGTCTCATGAGATGATTTTTTTTGTACTTGGGAGAAATTTAAAATTAAAATATTGAAGCTTTAGTAAGAAAAAAGCAATAAAAATTAATCATGCATTTAGGTGAGCTCCCATCATGAGTTAGTTTTTTCTTTCCTTAATCAATAAGGTTGATGATATTTTGGTTCTAGATAAATTCGTTAAAGTTTTGACAAGGATGATTATAAGGCAAATATGTACTTCTGTTTTGTCTTTTTGTCAGTGACGTGTCGTGCTTATGAAATTCAAATACATGTCAAGATAAGTATATTGGACCACCAATTTCACATTCATTTATGAAAATGTTGTTGCAATTAAAAACAGCTTATTAAAATTATTTGAACACTTTAAACAGTAAGAGTGAAAACTTACAGCTATTATTCCACTTTGACAGCTATAAAAATGAAAGAGTATGAGAGAAATGCACAAGTGACAACTCAAAGACATGAAAGGGAAGACTTTGAAGAATATATAGACACAAGAGGATGCTGCAGGGTGTGCATTGTACCCCATTATGTTTTAAGTAGTCCCTTTAACCCACAACTTGACTTAGCAGTTTCTTTTATTCTTTTCTGTTTTCATTCTTCGTGGTTTTATTTTGTTTTTCTCATGAAATGAATTACCCTGCATATACGTATAATGTAAGGGGAGGTGAATCCGCATACACAGCGATTCAAGTAATACGTTTTATAGTAATAACTCCTAATACTATACAGTACCACGCTTTGATAAAATGGAAGATTTACATAAATTGATGACTTTTTTATTCTTTTCCTTTGTATAAATTAACTATTTGAATGGATCTTATTAAGTCAGCATTCTATTTAATTAAACACATTAATTTAACATCGCCTAACTAATTTACAAGTCTCATAAATAATTTGTACATTATTTATTGCACTATATTATGTTATATTAAAGCAATAATAATATCAATATTATAAGTACGGTACATCTAACATTGGACTGAGTAAGCTTTGTTTAAAGCAATAGGCACAGGGGTGCCTTGAGGAAGGGGAGCTGTGGCATACTTGCTCCATGGGCGGCTCCAGTAATAATATTTTTTGGGTAGACCTGACAAGGATCAGAAGGAGTTTGATCGGAGACGAGAGGTTTGAGGGACTTTGTGGAGAAAAAGGGTGGGTTAAAAAATTTTAAATGCAAAAATAATGAGGTTTAATGTTTTCTCTGTACAGTATTTACATATACAGTAATTAAATTTATTTATTTATTTAAAACTTAAAAATATCTACCAAAATTTTTGGTAGGCCCAGGTCTACCTGGCCTATCCTCTGGAGCCGCCCCTGACTTGCGCGACTGAGATTTTGAGGGGAGAATTTATCATTGATATTTTATAGAGAATTTTTATAAGTAGCCCAAAAAAGTGTTTTTTGTTAAATTCATGCACTATCAATACTTGCAACACACTTTTGGCTATTCATAATTAGCATTTGTTTTTTTGCAACAAACATTATGTCTTTGCTATTGTACGATATGCTCTTAATTTTGCCGCGATCTCAGGAGATGATGATGACGTCTTTGTGACCACTGGGAAATTTTAAGATATTGCCCCAATCACTCGAGTGAGAGAGTTAATGTGCCACGATTGCAGGAGATGTTTTCAAATTTCGAAGTGATAATGTGAGGTGATCTCAAAAGGGCCGCGATTATAGATTATTGTTATGACAAATATTATGGTGTGGGCAAATAGAAGACTGATGTCTAAGAGAGGATGAGGAAGAAAAATAGTTAATTTTTTTTAAGTGCCACATATGTGGCATTTGCGGTTTTTCCATTCATGGCTAATGTATCATTTCTGGTTTGGGTGAAGATGCCCTTCCTAATTCTCTTGAATGAGCAGAGCCATTCCATTTCAAAACTGCCCAAATATCCTGACTATTTCATTGTCTCCATAGTTTTGTAATGGAAAACGAACGTTCCTAATAAACATTTCGCAGTGAGTTAGCTGTCTTTTCCCAGTGCCAAAGTTTTTCCTAGGTACTTATGTCCGAAAAGTGCCAGGCTAGCCGTGGAAAAAATCGGTAAAAGTATAAATTTTCATCCCAAAAGTGCCAAGGAATGATATATTGTGCCTCAATCGTAAGGAGATATCAAATGAAATCATCGTTGTTTTAAAATAACAACCGAGTCAACTGATATCCTCATTAAAACTCACATGGTCATGATGCTGGCCTGATACAGTAAACCCCCTCTTAACCGACCTCGTATTAACCGATAATCGGATTATCCGCCTTCGATCTTAAAATAATACAGTTTGTTTTAACCGACCTTGCTATGAGAGCAGCTCGTTATTAACCGCCGCTTTCTAGGAATCTCGGCATTTCCGCTCCCACGCTGGGCGATGAGAACCGAACCATACGCTTATCTCCACAGGATATGACTAAGAATAAGTTATTTTGTGTTGATCACAAAAAATATAGCACAGCCTATTGTCAGTTTGTCATCATCGTTCGTAGCTCGAGCGCATGTGATCTGTTTGTTATCTGTGCGGCAAATTTATAACATCATAAAGTGTGTTTCGATTTTGAGAACTGATTTTCTTATCGCTGGAGTAAACAAACAACGCAACTTGTATGGAGGGCAGGGAAGGGGACTTAACAACTCTAAGGTCAAGATAGATTTTGTGCCTCAAGCCTCCAGTGAGAGGCTATAAATAAAGGTCCTGTCTTGTAACAAAATGGTTGCTTGTATCTTTAATTTTGACAAAAGGTTCTGTACCGTATTACAATGGATTTGTAAAGCATCAATTAATAAATTATAGTACTAAAGTTATTAAAATAGGAATTTTATTGACTCTTGCCTAGTATTATAATATATTCCACTGAAAGTAGGCCTATTTGACTTAACCGTGTTTTGTGTTTATTTGTGACTTTTCTATCAATAGGAAAAAGGAGATAAGAGTAGTTTATTTGATAAATAATGCAATTATGATTTCAAAATAATGATTATATAATTCCAAATGAATAGCACTTCATTATGTTATGATTTTAGGGATTGTCCGTTTTATCCGACCTTTTTAGCTATCTGACCTAGGTCCGGTCCCATTAGGGTCGGTTAAGAGGGGGTCTACTGTATATCGTTGCAATGTACTTTTCGGTAAGACTACGCGGACAACGATATATTGTTGTGAAGTATTTTTCGGATGTTCCGTCCAAAACGATATCATTGCGTGGTGATAAGTTGAAGAGCTTATAAAATGAAGAAAGGGCCAGTATAAAATCGGGTGATTTGCGCTTTAGACCTTAGGGGGGGGGGGGGGGGGGGGGATGGTTGCCTCTGCTTACACAATCTTTTCTACCACAAAAGTAAAAAATCTCATTCTTATACACCAGATACACAATATCACTAAATCAAAACTGCATTGTTAAAAGGTTTCATAACCATGAGGAAGTTTTATCATTTAGGATACCGTACACAAATTAATTGGTACATCTACAGTTAAAGTCTTGTACGATACTCAAATATGATTACGAATCTTGAGTAACTAACATACATTGAAAATGCCATTCACAAGTACCTGGATAGCCTCAATGTCATCACCGTTGAGTTCAAAGGTCGGGTCATAGCCTCGGTAGAAGGGAGCCATCAAGGCAGCTCTCGAGTCAGAGTGAGAAAGTCCAAGAGAGTGACCAAACTCATGGGCCGCCACTTGGAACAAGTTGGTACCTGCAGAAAATTTACTTCAATTTTTGTGTAATCATCAAGATCGCCAAGTTAGCTGAACATTACATTTCAATACAAACATTAAGTTAGCTGACATTTCAAAAAGGGTATACAATGTTATTATAACTCTATCTTTTACAATAAACAAATAGAATTAAATATAGACTGACAGCAGGGCTACGGTTAGCATAAGTTCTGGCGTCCACCGCTAGGAACGCCGTGTAGTTACGTAGTGCATGCGCTTTAACTACACAGTACATCTAGCGGTGGACACCAGAACTTATGCTAACCGTAGCCCTGCTGTCGGTCTATATTTAATTCTATTTGTTTTTGTCTATGCTTTTACATTCTCCACAAAAAATATGTTTAACTCTTTTTAGCACTATGCAGCATAATTCCTAATGATTATTGTCAAGACCACAGATACCCGCAGGGTTCAAAAGTACTAGGCTCTATGATGTTTTAGACAGACTGTAGGGACCAAAGTATATTGTAAACATGAATAAGATTATTCTGTTTTATATACAGCAAAACGTTATATTTCAAAGTGTTATACATTAAAACGTTTTTGGAGGAGAGGAGGAGGGTATTATCCCCTGAAACTATACAAGTGGTTTTTCCTCCCTCCTCGTCAAATTCGTAGGGCGCCCTTATTGTTATATTGGAGCACTATTGTAATAAGCTTAGTTATGTTTACAGTTGATATTAAATTTTTTTACATAAAAGTTTTATATACAGACATCTATAATATTGCACGTTGTTAGTAGATGTTTTGTTTTTCAGAGATCAATCATAGCCTACATGGCATGGTAAATAATTCATATGTGAGTTCGGTACTATGGAAAACTATACGATTAAAAAATAACCGAAAACTGCTCCAAAAAAACATTCAATGGTAATATTATTACATTTGTTAATTTTGTTTTTCTCATCAGCTAGACCAGAATTGGTAACACTATATACAAAAATAACCTCTTCGGAACTACATCATCATTGTATGTCTATTTTATGCAGATGACTATCTCTATTGATTTAATTTCCATACAAATGGTGCATACAACCAAATTTACAAAATCTAAATGTGTTTACTTTCTTTATTTTTAAACAAGATACTTATTATATAATATTTTAAGTTACTTAAAAATCTACAACCATAAGCTTTTTTATCGCTTCACCTAAAGCTCTAATCACAATACCTCTGTAAGAGTTGACAGTCCATTTCTCTGAATCGTCAAAGTGAGCGTCTCCGCCGTAGACGGGAAAGAAAGCATGTGCAAGAGTACCTCCGGGGCCATCAAATGGATCTCCATCCCCGTGCTCACCTCGCTCAAACCTACGAACAATCCAACACTACTGTAAGAGGTCTAGGATTCTCAGGTAAATATGGCTTTAAAGATGTGATAAAAGACTGTTAAATAAGGAGTAGACCCATTTGTATTACGGTATTAAGGAAGTGTAATTTTTTTATTTGAAACTCTGCAGTTTTATCATATTCTTAAGCACAAAGGAGTTGTAGTAAAACAAGTTTGTATGGGCAGCTTTTCTGAGCGCTAGGTTGTAGTAAACGTTTAAGTAAGGGAAGTTAGATTTAATTCTGGAGCGCTAGGTTGTAGTTAAGCGACTATGTAAAGAAAGTTAGATTTCATTCTGGAGCGCTAGGTTGTAGTTAAACTTTTAAATAACTTTTAAGTTTCATGTTGATTTTGGAGCAATAGGTTCTACTTAAATATTTATGTAAGGGCAAATTTAATTTTAATATCTTTAAAAGTTATCCAATGAAGATTTTTTAATTAAATTAATTTTTTACTCCAGTTTTGTTTTAATTAAATGCTACTGAGTGTTTTATCACTATGCACACTGCTTATATGATCTAAAATCACATTTTGCCTGTAAAAATCATTGTATAATGTTAAATGAATGCATAACCCTTCATCTCCAGTGAGGATAAGCCCTTTTCTTTTGTATTCATACTGAGGAGTGTTTAATACACTTATCTCTAGGCTGGATGATTTATTGCTTATTTCTATATATTAACTGAAGAGTAGGATATGTGATAACTACTCTCTTTCATTTCATCCCTACTCTAGGGCTCTAGTAAGCCAATCTCCTTAATTGTATGAGTCAACTGAAGATTTCTGGATTTACACTATGTATACTCCTTATTTCAACGGTTAATTACCGGTGGTGGGAGTGTAACAACGTAAGTGTGTTCCATTACTCTATGCATATAGCTTACCTAATATCTATGTGGGCAGAGCCGCTCTTCTTCTGAGTGAATGTAAGAGGCGTGACGGAAGCCCAGACTCCAAATGCTTCTTTCACTACTTTGTCAGTTTCTGCTTTGGCAAGATTCCTCGGGTATTTTGAGATCTTGTATGTCAAATCCTTCACCTTCCATCTGCTTCCTGGAAAAGTTTAAATTGATGACAACAAGCTGTAAATAGAGTCTGAAAGTATTTTGCCTATTGATCTACCAGGATATACCTAATACAATAAGGGGTTTCTCTGCACGATTTTTACCATTGAAGTGTAATTTTATAGCTTTTGATCTAGTGGAGGGATAAAATGTTAACGAAGAAGGTAACTTCCTTTTGGACTTAGCCCCCCCCCCCTTGTGTTTGTTTACTTCCAAAGTTTACTTACGAAGATTCAGTTAAGCCATAGACAAATAGAATAAATATGTATAGACTATCAAAGGAAGGTTCCGGCGCCCATCGCTAGGAGTGCCGTGTAGTTATGGCGCACACCACTGCAGGCGAGGAGCGCAGGAGCCGTATGCGACTCCAGGCTGCAGCGGTGTGCGCCGTAACTACACGGCAAGCCTAGTGGTGGACGCCAGAACTTTTATGCAATAACTGCAGCACAGCTGACGGTCTTATTCTATTTGTCTATGGTGAAGCTGACCAGCTTTCTTTATAGCAGTTTAGATGTGAATTGTAAACTAACAGCTGATCCATTTCAATGTTGAACCCAGGGCCGCAATCGGTTTTAGGTTTGTTGGGGGCGCAAGGAAGTGAAAAATTACCCTTCAATGTTTAGAGAGGGATGCAATTATCTTGGGCCCGTAGCCCATCACCTAAAACCACAGGCCTGTTTTAACCAAAATCAGATTGTAAACAAGAGATAAACATGTTTATGAAAATGGAAAAATAGGCTACTTTTTTATAATTAACCTAATTGAGAGGTAAAATGGTGTAGATCTGAAATCAACAAATGTTATTTATTGTAGCCTAAATTAGTAGTTTCATTTAAACCTAATAATTGTTTTGAACAACTCTGACAACACTGTTGGTAAAAAAAAAAAAAAAAAAAAAAAAATGTTATTAGAGTTAAGATTATAACCCTAATAATGTAAATGGGTATTTTGATTGGATTCGTTTTCCCCTGAAAAAGGTTTGAACCCTATAAATACGTGCAAGGGGCCCTTGTGTTATTTGAATGATTTATTATACATCATTGGTGATGTCAAAGTAGTTGGCAATACATCAGACAAAAGCCAACGTATAATATTTTTTCAAACTTCATCACACACAAAGGGCAAGCACCCACTTTTAAGCAAGTCGAAGTCTTCTGTTTCTGTAGGAATTGAGAGAATGAAGAGTATTCCCAGGCACGATGCAATGTCACTGTCAGCTCCTTCTGGTATTCTCTACAAGAGAATGTGATTGAAGAATAAAGTTGCCAGAGGTTTTTAATCACACGAGCACTTAATGCAAGGTGGTCTACTGGTATTTCTACCTGGCAAGGTCTCTTGCCTTTTAAAGAATTAATAGCACCAGAAACTCGACATGGTCTAAAATGTTTTATCGGAAAATAATTCCAAGTTTGTTTGAGTTTCAAAGTATTCTCACTGTTGCATTCGAAAAGTGTACTCTCCCATTATTTGGCACAAAACTGCCACGGTCGCCCCAACACCTTCAGAATAGCTCAATGTCAGAGACGACCAACGTACTCAATAGCGAAGGTCGGTGACCGGAAGCCAGCTCCATCACCCGCCATTGTAACTGTTTCCGGTTTATTAAGTGAACACATCTGTAAAATCGATGAGGTTTTGTGACATATGCTAAAGTGGCTATTTTAATCCTAAGCCGTTAGCTCTGAGAATCGAAAGGATAAATCCTACTTGATCACTGTGATTAGTGAGTATACATGTACAACCATTGATTATATACGAAACATGATGCTTTTAATAATATAATCAATGGGTCTACCAGTAACCGAGATGTAAATCTCATTATGTGTTACTTGTTTTTGTACTCAACAAATTCCCAAGCTGTATTATTCGTTTGGCCTATTTAATTGATCCGGTTGATCAGTGATTGGAACTACAAATTAATAGAAACTTGAATAAATTGGTACTGAAAAGGAATATTAGATCAACAAGGGCGATACACTTTTTAAATAATGTGTATTTTGTGTGAGTATTGTGTAATGTTTTTTTTTTTTTTATTGAAGCAAAACGTTTTATTTTTAGTAGGTTTGTGACTGACAGTTTGAGGTTATAGTTGAGATAATTCTGTGGTCGCTGGTTGAGATCGACTAGAGGATCACTAATGCGTTTCTTCAGGAGAACGAGTGGCAAAAACTTGTTGTGACGGAGCATAAATTCTATGCATGATGACTATGGCGGCGCACTAGATCTGCAACGAGGCAGGCCAACAGTTTGCTATATTTTACATTTTACTTTAGCCTGTGTTGTATATAATAGGTTGCCTATTGGCTATTTTTGGTTGGATTTTCCTTCATGGAAAAGATTAATTCATATCTAGACATCTATATAAAATCAAATTTTCCGAGAACGCACAAAAAATACATAAGTAATGAGTTCATATTTTTGCAGAGATAAATAATTTAATTACTAAACTTTTTGGGTATATTCTTTTCACATGTTTATTTGTTCAAATCTATTCCACAATGAACCGTTGCATGAACTTCAAATAAATTCAAACTTGTATTCAATTTCGTTAAGTGAGAATAAACTTCACAAGAAGTAGTTCAGATTTACAAGTTATTTAAATTATTTATAGGCCTACATGAATGAATTTATAACCAACCAATCGCATCACTACATCTGCAATTTCCCTTTACGCTGCTACAAAATTCCCGAAAGAGCGAATTTTATCCTCAGTTTCCTCATAGGAAAGATATCAATGAATTGACCTCTGATAAATCTATATTTTGAGTCTTTCAATCCAAGAATTGGTTCAATAGTTTGAATTTGATCTTCGTGTCCTATCCTAAATCCTAAACCATACGTGTTGATTTACCTTGTGGTGATCCAGCTATTACAGTATTGGTTTTGTCCTGTACAATCTGATTTTCCAGTTTATCGACTGTAGGTATGGCTGAGTTAGCAAATATTTTAAGCGGGTGAATTAGTTGTGTTAGTTGTAGTGCCTAATAATCTAAGCTCACCGGTTTGATCTGAGGAGAGTGGCTTTTGATAAGGTTAAAAACTACACAAAACCCATAAGTACTCAGTCAAAAAATTGATTCAAATCTTCCACAAAAGTTACAAATATTATTGATTAAATGAATACTTTAATACAATAAAGAGCCCAAGTTTATTTTACAAGGAAAATATATAGTTCGCTAGTATAATTTACGCTTAGATGATGTCCTGTGGTTAACGCCACAGCCACCCATATGATATTGATGTACGTACAACCTGCGGTGTGGATCAGATCACGGACTTTATAATCAATGGTCTATTGTCTGTGATCAGATTCAAACTGTTCCGTTATCACCAAGGGTCAGACAGTTATCAATTACCTTGCAGCGCGTAACGTTTGCTCCTGGAGGACGTTCCAAAGCCAATCTTGTCCTTTACCCCACACCTTGGAGTGTTCATCAGCTGTAGTGTTTCTTGGTCCAGATCACCTAGAAACAAATACAAAATAAATAGTGGAATAAATTACCTTCAGAAAACACTTGATGATGACCGAGCTGAAAACAGAACATAATGTTTTATAGTGGATTCCTACATGTTTTGAATTGTTGTCATTTACCTTTCCATTTAAACAGTTTAAGAAATGTGAAAAATTTGGATTAATAGGATATTATAAATATCCTAGTTGCTGCAATACCTACTAAACTAACTCCAAAATTACACTAGTTTAAATGTATCCAGATATATTTAAAATATATTTAAACTTGAACCAATTCATATTATATTAACCTTATGATACTCCTAATGTAAGTACTGCGGTATTTGCTGCAAAAAATATTGTGTTTTTTCAACAAACTTACAATGAAAATACCCCTCGTCCAAGCATACCTGCAACCTATCAAATTTCCAATTTGCCGAGAGGATTTTTACAAAATTACATTTCTTAAGACGAGTAAGACATGTCTGATTTATTTCTTATTTACAGTATTAGCAAAGGTATTGATAATATCTTATTTTGAAAAAATAATTTGATCAAAATATATCTACTGTATAAACAAGCATATTGCAACATTCTACTTATATTATCTACAAAACAACATGGGAATATCAAATGTATTTTTTGAAGCTTCTCCAAAACCACACAAGAACGCTTCAATATAAAATTAACTAGTATATAGTAAATGCTTGTATTGTTATCCAAAGATAATCTTTCTAGAAAAAAAACTCAAGCTAATCACGGGGACTCAATCTACTCCTGTAACCTTTAAAGTGTGGGCCAAAAATGTGTCTATTCTTTATGAAAACAAATCTTAATTATAGTTTAAAATTTAAGATTTCAAATGTATATGAATTTTATCGTTCGCTTATGTTAGATTTTCAGATAAAAATAAGTTTTATACAATGAATATATTATACTTTTTAAGTCGTTATAATAACAAGTAAATACCAAGCATACAGTTACTCGTATTTTAGTTCCCACTTGAGCAGCATTGGAATATAGTATTTATTCCAACATCCTTTCTCAATATAAAAAGATTGTGTACATGAATGTGGATTAACACCCTTGACAGAATGTTCCATAGACTGATTTAAATACAAATTCATTATATGACTTTAGTTTTCATTCGTAGATGTTTGATGAGTCATGAACAATATTTTGTGAGTCTGAATTTCACAAACACAGAACGGATTCGATGTTATTCGAGACGCTGACGAGAACAGTTTGGTTCAGCACCGTTGCGGTCTCCCAGTGACTGCTGAGCAAGACTGATTCACATGCAGACCTCCTCACTACGCAGGCTGATTCACAGCACACCTGTGATGAGCTGTTAGACATTACTCATGCTTGTTTATCCAGCTCTATAGATCATTAAATGGGTGACTAATCGTTCCAAATCTTTATGGATAACGCAGTTTACCGTTACTTAGAAGGCATTTTACGCGGCCTTCTCTTGAAAAACGAGAGTACCTATCACGATTCAAATAATTTAAATGCATTCACTGGATTGGCGAGATTGTCTTTAGCCAAAAAATATGGCCTCACCACTTTGGAAATAAAATTACGGACGATCAAAACCCCAGTTTTGTGCGATTTTTTTCAAGTTTTCTCCCAATGTTTATCACATACTGTACGCCATCTGTGAAATAACGAACAGCTGTTATTGGATCAAGATTATTTTTTCTAGCTGTCACTGATATGTTTACATTAAATGTAGTTTACCTACCGCAACCTTTTCCGATCACGTTTTGAAAGCAAATCCAAACCAAGTGAGATGAAAAACGTGTTTTCCTTACATAACGGATTTAATTAATCGCAAGCGCAATAATGTGTAACCGTAAATCAAATTAAATAACTAGGCATCATCCAGGTCAGGAACCGGAGATTCTTTGTGTATCAAATTGTTCTTGAGTTTTGATATCCGGGAAAAAGACCTTGAATCAGTATTGTATAGGGCTGGGAAACTTACATTTTTAAACCATCGTCACCAATAGATTACAGCAAGGTTTCCACTCACTGATGGCGCTTCAATGGCGGTTGTGTAAAGTGTAAAGTAAATCATCTTGAATCACAACTGCAGTGGGTGATTGTAACAGAGGTTTACGGATTTTGCTAAACTAGCTTTTCCAATGTGTCACTTTCGGTACTACTCACCGCTATGTGCTGCAATCGCTGGACCGTTGGCTGGACTATACAGCCAATAGGCCCATAGCCCATCTCTTGGGTACGTAGCCTACCCAATTATTCAAAACCACATTTCGACGACGATCCTTGATACCATTATATACAACCCACGGACCCAAACTACACTGTAACCATTGCACTGTTTGAGGCAAATGATCCCTTAACATTCCAAGGATAACTGGCTATAAGGAGAACAATTGCAAAACAGCAAAGTATTTGATACTGATCTTACACGTGGCTTGCAGCATTGTAGAATCCCACGCTCGAACAATAGGCAATAACATTCTGCTAAATCATTTGATAGACGTATTTAGTTCACGTTTGATTCATGTCGGGTAGATCGAGCTAGTTTTTACAAAATCTATCTTAGTTTGACCATAGATAAAAGGAGTATAGACATGTCTACTTCTTTTAATCTATGGTCTGACGATGTAAACTAACAGTAACGCTGTTATTCTCTCTAGGTTATGGTGCTAAAATGTTCGAATGAATAGATTTTTTTTACCGAAAACTTTAAGAATATAATAAAGAATAATTGTGAATATGAGCTAAAATTTTGAATTATGTAAACATTTTAAATACCTTACATGCCATAGCATAGTATCGTTGACTTTTGGACGCTGGTCAAAGCCGGTTTGTAAATCCGACATTCGAAGAATACTAGAAAACCTGTCCCATCCAATAACAGATTTAACCAACTTTGAACACAGTCATAAATAATATTTTTGTTTCGGTATTTGTTGAATCATTATTTCAGTTTGATGATGATGAATTCCAATTAGGAGTCCCATTAGGACACTGAGGATAGCGCCTTTGGAGAAGATTCCCAAAAATCTATTTGGAGCGCCTGATTTATGTTAACAATGATAAAGGTACGAATTGTCACGGGAGAGACGTGAAAAGTAGCAAATGAATCTACAATCAAACCTTTAAGCCTAAAATATTGGCCCTTCTGTTCGTAATACCACAGAAGAGTAGACACCCTATTCTTTAATCTGTGGGAAAAAAGTAAGGTAACATCCACATCCACACCAATGCGTGTTGTACAGACAAAAATTGTTCCTATGATGCTTATTGTTTTTTTTCTTTTTCTTTCAGAAATATTTTTTCGAAGTTAACATAATAATGTATTACATTCTATCTGAAGATTCATCTGAGGTGCAAATCTCAACAAGTGAGTGGGTACCGTCCAAGAAATCAAGGTTGTGTCCACACTGGGACCGGTTATCAGGACAGAACTGTCCCCACTTGACATGTAGACAGGTACTCGGATGAGGACATCCTTGAACTTGCATCAGGACCTTGACTGTTACGGAAGCCCGCGGAACAATGGGTGTGAGCCACTGGTGCGCGAACCTTGGATCGGACGTCCGCGGAATCCATCACAGCTCTACCCGCCACGGCGCGACGGTTGTTGCCAAATAATGCCTCATTGTTGACATATAACGGATTTAATTGTTGCATTTACGGGTGATTGTTTCTCTCGTTTCTATTGTTGGATTGTTTTGTGTTCTAGGAAATGTAATGTTACTGTTTTCAAATTGTGTAATCAAACGTGATAAGCTAGCCTCTTAGTTTGTGCTATATTTCTGGATCTTAGGAAGAGGGTCACCACAATAACTTGCTTCATGCAAAAGAAGCTGATGTGGTTAGGTTAGGAATTGTGAAGTTAAGAGTGAGAAACTCTATTTTGTGCTTATACCTTTTGATGGAGAGAGAAAGAACCACCACAGAAATCAGAACAATTAACTATTTGAATTCAAATGAGTACCGGTACTACAAATTCTACAACCAGAGAGATGATTGGTAATAACGCGATAGTGAGGAAATAGCTTTAATTGACATAATCGTGCCATTAAAATATTAGTAGCCGTGATCTTCTTGAAAATATCCATACTTTTTTATGTACATCAAAAGTCCCCACAAAAGAAACAACAAAATTAATAGTTAAGTAGTGATCATATCTCCTAACAGATGTCGTATGTAGTTCCATTGTTAATTTTCAAGTCTTGCCATTGTCAGCGTAGGGCTCAAGTACAATAACCGATGATTGCAAATGACTTTTTAATTAGATATTCAATATATGAGATAATCACTAAAAGTACACTGTTCCACAATGTACAACATATAATTTATTATATTCTTTCTAGGCACCATTATAAGTTTACATAAGTAACGTGTTCCCATTTTCTTGGATTGTTAGAAATCAGATTTGTTGCGAAGAGATATCAAAAATAACATTAGAGGGGGGTTTAAAAATAAAACTTACAATAACATTATTGTCACCAAAGCCTAAGCCGCCACACTTTTTGCCCTAAAAGCTCAAATATTCACAAAACGTAAATTTAGTACATTGATTATCTTTATAAAATAGCAATCAAAATTGTTTCCTTCTTGTATTACATCATACACGAAAAACTGTTACAATAAGAACCCCTCTACCAGCACAATATCTGTTTGATACTCTTTGCCATATTATAATTGCTTGTTTCCTCTACTACATTTGTTTGGTGCTGATTTAATTAACATCTGTTATATTCATTGTTTTAAATATATACACAATATTTTACAGTCCACATAGCTCTTTAGTCATTTTTTATTATAAGTTTATTTCAACCTTTACTTCAACGCAACGCAGATACCCAACATGTTGGTCCTTCGAGCCGGATATTACGGCTCGTAAGAATGCTGTGGAAATTCGATCTCAATTTCTTGATTTGGAGAAGGTTTGGGCTGAAATTGTTCTGGTCCAGGATATTTCTTGAAAGGATTTGGATAATCAACGTCAATATCCAACTCAAAATGATACTATCTAGCGTTTCAATAATGGCATTCCATGTAATTTAGAACATATAAATAACACGCGGGGTTGGACATGTGCCGCGAGGGACCCGAAGTGACCACCGCGCGGAGTTGTACAATCGGTTTTGACAGATTTCTCACCACCGCATGGAGTTGGGATAAGCCCCAAATAATGTAAATACCCGTGCTATATTATGATGAAAATTATATTATAAATGGTTTCACATACGTGACGTAAATCTAAGAAATCAAATCGGATATACCTGTGATGTTGATTCCTGCAAAGGCCTGGAACTCCTGGATGGCTTTGGTAAGGACATCCTCAGACATTATGTGTTCAGACTGAGAATTGCTGACTGCAGGACTAAGATATCCGAACTGGGACAGGTACATCTGAAAAAAGTAATAGCTCAGTTACAATTCATTCAGAAGTAATGGTACTACTAAGGCCGGGGCCACACTCATCTTATCTCGCTGAATTTTTTCCACGGGCGTTACCCGTGGGTTTGAGAGATACATTACGGTATATGGGGCAGGCCACACTAGAGTAAAAACGTCCGTGAACGCGTTTGTCAGTCTCACTGGTTTTACCAGCGAGACTGACAAACGGAATTGCACGTGTATTCTCTACTAACATCCCACGGGCGTTGCACGTAAAACTAGTCGCGGGGCATTGCGGCTTATGGGAGTGAACACACTCATCCTATCTCGCTGAACTTTTTCCACGGACGTTTCTAGTTTTAACCTGTACAGAGAGCGTGGAAGGGGGGGGGGGTGGGTATCACGGACACGGACGATTTTTATTGCCAGTGTGGCATGCTCTGTCAGTCTCGCTGGTTTGCCCGAAAAACCTATCTCGTAAGACTAGTGTGGCCACTTGCAAACGGTTTCACGTGCGTCGCACGTGAAAACGGAAAAACAGTCTCGCTGGTTGAAAATTACAAGTGTGGCCCCGGCCTAAAAGTACCCAGTGGTGTTTTGGTGGTGGTTAGTCAAATACTCCTCTTCCTTGGTTGAAAGTTTACGATAAGTTGGCTTGATTTTCATAAAAGTCTTAAACGATAAATGCACGTCACTTATGACATACTTTCTTATACAGTGACATCAGGAATTCCTGAGCCTTGTCGCATTTACCTACAGAGTGCGAGAACGTTTAGATGAAATCAAGTTTCTTTGTGTCTCATAAATAACATCGTCTCTGTCTTAAAAAAAAAAACAGCTCAAACACCTCCTCATAAATCAACCTTACTACAAAATTACAGAATATCAGGAAGAACATACATTTCTCTTAAATTAACACTCAAACACAAATCATACATTCACCCACACTACAACACTACACACAATCAAGAAGCAAGTACTGTAAGAGGAACGATGAAAAACATTAACGATTCCCCGGTCTTCAAGGACTGCGGTGAAGACTCCGATGGTAAATGGTAAATTATTATTTTTAAAGTTTGTCCCCAACCATTTGGCTATATTTAGATAAGAACCAAGTAACGTGTATTATCCTATTTGATTTACATACATAAGTAAATAACTTTCCAACGAAAACCATTCTAGAAATTTGTGATTTGGAGGATGAAATTCTATAGACTTCCAAAATTGATTTTTTATTATGTAAGAGACAAAGCTTTCAAATCTGAAACGCTTCCTATAGTAGTGTGATGACTCTATTCAAGTAAACTGTATAAAACACATAGACATAAGTCATACCTCTTAAAAAAACCAATACTTGGCAGTTATTCTAAAATTCCGTCAAACCACGATTTAACTGTGAGAAATCACTTTACATGATTATCAAGGGTTTTAAGTAACAAACTGTTGTTTGTATCTCCTTGATGTGTTTCAGTGATTAACCAACAGACTGCAAGACAGAGGGTTTGCTAATTAGCCAAGTCTGTGATGAACTAGCAATGTTAATGTATGGGATCACGCGCCCTTGTCGTGAAGGTCTAGAGTGACCGGAAGTTCTGGTCAGCAGTCAGCACGCTACACGTTACATGCTTCTTCCGCGATGGACTCGGTCCATCCCCACGTCCATTGGACGCAACAATCATTGGAGGAATACTTCATTTGGACCGTTTATCGAATGCTAAGTTTGTAGCAGCGTGTTTTTACACGGACATTCAACTCAGTCGTTATATTGGGTTGGGGTTTTCAATACTGGGGAGGTTAGTAAATAAGTGGTTCTCTGCTACATCCAGTTTTCTCAGTTGAATATACCGATCATTCCTTATCATTGTCACCCACAATATGCTGGTTATTGATCTCTTTTGACTCAGTCTTTCACACTCTGTCAGTAATATTGCCAATATTGGTAGTCTCACTATTGAGAAAGTTAAAGTTGATAAGTTTTTCTTCAGCTACAGCAATCCTTTTGGGTGGGCATTTATTGTGCCAACTAACCTGAGTCAGGTAGTCGGGTATTCCTGAATTTCGACAACTACTCCAGGGAGCCACCCGATACATTCATTAACTGCAAAAAGTGGCGACCCTCTTTGACTGTATAATTGAGTAGGTTAGGTTAGGTTAAGTTAGGTTATGATAGTTTAGGTTAGGATGACAAGTAAACAAGGACATTCCTTCAGACTTGTTAGGAATCCTTCTGCCGGCAACTCACCCCTACCTGTCTTAGGCTTGGCGCTAATAGGAACATTTTTTGGGACCCATTGAGGGCTTGGTGCAGTTAAGGATCTATTTAGCGCAATTAATGCACGACCATTCTTTTCACTTGAACAAACCGATCCTCACTTTTACTGTGACTCACAACACTGGCGGTGATTGGTTTTCTAGGCTAATTGCAACTTTTTCGCCTACATCTAAATTTTCCAGTTGAAGAGAAAGATCATCCCTTGTCATAGTCACTCTCAATCTACAAGTTACATAGATGTTCTTAAGACTGGGAAAGTCGATATGTTTTCCTCGTCCTCAGCAAGTTTTCCCAGTTGAACAGACTGATCCTCCATCTCCATTGTGAGTCATGATTCGCCAGTTTATATCGATGTTCTCACGATTGTTATGATGAACGGCTCCGTGACTGAGGCTGTATCGTACTCCACATCCGTCTGTACCAAGGTTGGAGCGATTGAACGTTCGGAAACCATCTGTAGAGATTACGATTCGTTTAGTTATTGATTGGATGAAAAAAGTGGATTATAATGTTGGTAGGCATTTAAAGATGCGTAATAAGCTATGGTTGACGTTTCTTAACCTTTCCAATAAAGAGACATTTTAAATTTTTCCAATCATTGATCTGTATTTAGGTTACTCTTGAGTAGAAATACTTAGGATTGTTGCAAGTGGAAAAGAAAGGTGATAAAAACCTTTTGAATGTGTTCAATTTATTTGCAAACGAAGATTTATAGGTTGCTGTAATACAACAATCTACAATGAAAGGGCTACAGATTTCTTTCTGAATTATTATATGAGTAAAAAATAAGTAACATACGTTTAATATAACATGGGTTTACGGATAGTTGCATTAGTAATCTAAAAGAAAATATCATTATCACCGTCCTGTCAACACCATGAGCATACCACCACTTTCATAGATATCAATAATTTGTTTAGGAATACTTCCACAATAAACCTAACCCTCTGTACCTGTTAAAAGTAAATAAACAATACAAATTAGCCATGATTCACTTAATTACTGTTCAGCTTGGGAGCGACGGGTGTGACTGTGACGTTATTGATAACACTCTTATCTCAGGAGGCGAGATATCAGTGACAAGATATAACCTCACCTACAACGCTGTATACAGTAGCTGACGACGAGCGAGCTGGTTTAATGGTACGGCGCGGGACTTCGGTTCAGAGGTCCCGGGTTCAAATCCTTCCAATCACCAATGGATTTCATCCAAATGGTTATACCTGAAGTAATTTTAAAATAGTTCCAAACTAGACCCTAGCATCTCAAAATGTGAAGATAGGGCATAAAAAGGAGTATTTACAACGACACGGAGTGTTACAGGGGAGTACCCTGGGTCATCTGTTATCTATCTAATCTTCTTGACTCACCATCACACGTCTCTTAACACCTCAGATCCCAAGGGTCTCTAAATAAATACCGTACAAATCTGGCCACAGATAACGTCGTAAATATATGTAACCTTAGCCCAGTAGATTACTACTTATTCATCAGTAAATAAGTATTCCCTTTGCTTGCCTTTAGTTTTCATATTAGCGACGGATTAACATTTATATCCGATCAGTAGTAGAAATGTATGTTATAGATTTAGATTTGTAAAATAAATTGGGGTAAAGTTGTAAATAAACACAATTTGTCTTTATGGGTGGGTTGATAGACAAGCGATTAGACTGATTAGAGTAACATATCCTAACACTAACACTCCCTCCTAATACACTGTTATCTTTCATGAGAAAATAAATACTTTTAATATCCATAAATATACTTAAATTATTGTATAAGGCTAGAATTTACTCAGTCATGGTTTCGTGACAGGCTTAGTACACAAGAAATTATATAATTACAGTATGGGAAAGAGTAGCAATTTAGTTTAATTATACCACAGTTTAACCTTGGGGAGGTTTTGGTTATCCATTTTTATAGCTATGCTGCATAGTCTGTGGTTCCTTTTAACTTTGGGTCTCCCAAATTAACTTTGACGTTAGTTATTTTTTTTTCACAGAGGTTTTATTTCCACCAGATTACAGAGAAAATGCCCGATTAACCGTGCCGTGCGTAACCGTTTAGTGGTAAGCATTATCGAAATGGGAACTCAGTATTATATTTTACCAATAGTAAAATGTATTATAGAGCTGAATCAGTGTTAATTAACCTCTTATTGCCCATTGTGTAATTTTTTACACGTTCTACAATTGTATTTACTACATTGTTTTTTAATTTTGTATCTCTATGGAAACAGTTTTTTCATGTTTCTACACTACTGGTGAAAAAGTTTTGTTGAGTTGGCAGCACTGGAGCTTTTTTCAGTGATCAAGCTCACTTCCACATTTGGTGCATCCCATTATTGACGCTTTTTGGAGGTTATGTTGTTTACAACATATAAAAGACCATAAAAACAGGTGAGTCTAGCCAAATAAAAATTTAATTTAGTCATTATAGTGTTTGTAGATCATACCTAGCATATAACTTTGATCTAATATATTCTAATTTACATAATATCGACCAAAATTGGTTTGTGTAATTTTTTACACATTGGGCAGCAATGGATATTCTGACTGACAGAAGGTTTGTGTAGTTTATTACACTATGGGCAACTACAGAACATATGTATAAGGTTTATTGAAACGCAAACTTATACCATCTTATCTTTTCTAGATGGATCGGCCAAGAAGACTTGTGCGGAATGCACCAGGAAGATTGAAGGAAGCCTTCCTTATTCCAGAAGACAGCGATGAGAGTGCCATGGATGACAGCGACGCTGATCCCGATTATGAGCCCATTGAACATGCAAATACAGATCGTCTACAGCGAATAGTTGATGGTCTAAGTAGTAGGCGTTTCATAGATGATGATGATGGCGACAATCCGGACGATCCAGCCGAATTTGATCCAGACATGCCCACGACATCTGGCGCTACATGTAATACTACTGGACTCCGGCGTATCACCAGTATGCCTGGAGCTACTGAGCATGACTATTGCCAGAGAAACACTTCAGGTAATATTTTATTTTAATCATTACTAAATTGTCTCGTTGATCGGTTATCTCTCATGAAAACTTGTTTACGATAGTTATACATACTGTATTACTATGTACATAATAGGCCTATTCAGTTTTATTATATTCCCATGAATGAATTTCAGGTGCTGGTGTGAATCTAAATCGGGAAAATGGATCAAATACAAATGAAGATCTAATACATCAAATACAAACAAGCAAAGGAGGTGCAAGAGGTTCGAAGGGAAAAACGAAAAAAAAGGATCTTCCAAAATGGATTGAAGTTGACGCAGACTCAAGTGAAAAACCACCGGTAATATGGGATGACGTCGAACCTGAACTAGGGGAAATTCAAACCCCAATAGATTATTTTAGATATTTTTTTGACACAGACATTTTGGACAGTATGGTAAATCAGTCCAACCTTTACAGTGTCCAGAAAGACCCAAACAAGCCACTAAACATGTCAAAGAATGAACTAGAGCAGTTTTTGGGGATTTGCGTTGGAATGTCTATTTACCGCTTACCACGATCAAGAATGTTTTGGGCTAAAAATACGAATGTGGAAAAAGTCAGCTCAGTAATGTCACGAAACAGATGGGAAGAAATAAAAAGAAACATTCATTGTAACGACAACGCCAACATTCTACCAGTTGGACATCCAGACAGAGACAAATTATTCAAAGTAAGACCACTTATCGATCATTTTCAAGCAAAGTTTCAAGCCTTACCAAAGCCACAGATGCTATGTGTGGATGAACAGATTGTGCCATTCAAAGGAAAATCGGGACTGAAACAATACAACCCTAAGAAGCCTTATAAGTGGGGTTATAAACTGTTTATACTTTGTGATACCACAGGTTTGGTTCACAATTTCGAAGTATACACTGGACACATTGAACCTGTGACAGGAGCTCCTGATCTGGGTGCGAGTTCGAATGTTGTTTTGAGAATGACACAAGTTGTCCCAAAGCATAAAGGATATTTAGTATATTTCGACAACTGGTTTGCCTCACTTCGGTTATTTACTACTTTGGCACAAGATGGAATCGGAGCTTTAGGAACAATCCAGAAGGAAAGGTTTCCTGGGCTAACTTTTCCCTCAGACAGTGAAATGAAACAGAATGGAAGAGGTTCTCTGGTGGAAGTTGAAGTAAATTTCGAAGGTGTGGATGTGCGAGCTTTGAAGTGGTTGGACAACCGAGGTGTAACAATCGCCAGTACTTTTGAGAGTGCAATGCCTGTCTCTCAAATTACAAGATTTGACAGATCATCAAAAAGAAATGTAGACGTGCCTTGTCCTAGAATGATAAAGACATACAACAAATTCATGGGAGGAGTGGATCTTCTAAATGGGCTGATAGCGTACTACAGGATAAAAATAAGATCAAAAAAGTACTACCTGAGACTTATTTTTCATTTTGTTGACATGGCTATTGTGAATGGGTGGTTGAGGTACAGAAATGATTGTCACAGGAGAAACCTTCCAAAGAAGTATATTGTGGACCTGCTTGAGTTCAAAAGTGAAATCTTCAGTGCTTTATGCAGGGAAGGAAAGGATAGTGAGAGAAAAAGAGGACGCCCTTCGTATGACAGAGTGGATGCTGATTATGAACAAAAGAAGCATCGAGGCCCAGCAAAACCTATTCCATGCTTCAACGAGAGAAGAGATGGCATTGGTCACTGGCCAATCGCCACTGGAGATAGGCAGAGGTGCAAGAAACCTGGATGTAAAGGACAGAGTACAATTAAGTGTGGAAAATGTCAAGTACATCTTTGCCTAACTAAGGAAAGAAACTGCTTCACTTCAACTTTTCATATATAATAGAGTTTGTGGTCTTTGGTACATGAAGGAAGCTGTTTTTACAAGTTATCTTTATAGTCATAAGCTTTCTTGCATTGTATTTTTACAAATAGTCACAAGTAAAACACATTTTATAACCTGAAAAATAATCATTTTATTTATAATGCGATAACTCCCTAACTGCCCGATGTGTAAAATTTTACACGTACCCAAAAAAGGTATACAACGTGTAATAAAAAATTTGAAAAAAAATACTAGTTAATATTAAACCTTATTAAACATAAAAACGATAGGAAATAACTTTTAACTCATTTGTATAATAATTTGGGCAATAAGAGGTTTTAAGGCCATCAATTATATTTATGTGTGCTATTTATGACAAATACAATGTTTAACAAAGATGATGTTACTAAGCCAATAGTTTTACATGGAGAGGCAACTTACCCAACAGCTCTTTTAAATATTGTTGGTAAATATTTACAGGAAACTATCAATATAGCAATAGGGTACTTTCCTGTTAAAGGGAACATTCATTATTATGGATGATTTTTTCTCGATATATCGATACTAGCTGTACCCGCGGGCTTTGCCCCGTTTAACTTGATAAGTGAGCTCGTTCGCATGGCTCAAACACGTCCTGGTTGAAGTTCGTTCGCTATGCTCACTCACTTTAAGGTTGGAGCTCGTTCGCTGCGCTCACTTGCCTTCAGGTTAGCTCGTTCGCTACGCTAACTTGCCTCCTGACTTTGGTTGCCAATTAGCTGTTGTCATAAATGTAAAAGAAATAATACTGCTGCACCCTGTTGGTAATCCTTGTAACTTTAATGCTATTGAACATCATAGAACAGAACCAACTTGTTAAATTGAAACAGCTGTTAAGATTCATTAATTCCATTTAAATATGAGTACTCATAAGGTTAACATGGGAAACTCTAGAGCCACTGGGGCGGAGCCCGAGAGTCCGATCAGAATAAAAACAGCTTAGTTTTCCTATTTAATGCCTAAAGAATCAGTGTACCAAATTTCAGCCTCCTAGGCAAATGGGAAGTAAGAAAATTAGTGATGAGTGAGTGAGTCAGTCAGTGAGTCAGTGAGGGCTTTGCCTTTTATATATATAGATTAACAAAATGAAACATATCAGCTGACAACTACTATTGTTCAGTATCAACAAACAATAATGAAATGAAACTGTTCTAAAAAAATAACCTAACATAGCTAACCAAACCTTCTGTGTAACATTCCATGCTTAACTTGCCTTTTCTGTTATCAAAAGGAATTTTTAAATAGTACAGCAAGTTTGGTTGGTTATGTTAGGTTAGCTTAGAACAGTTTCATTTCTTAATCCATATAATAGACTATTTTAGCCTAAACAAGATCAGTTGTCAAAAATTGATCGGTAAATAAATATATCGATATATCGAAAAAATCATCGATAATAATGAATGTTCCCTTTAACAGGAAAGTACCAGAAATAGTTAATATATAAAACTGAAGACTTTAATAAAATATTTTTCAGCATAAACCAACATTGTCATTTCAAAAGTATAAAATAGTTCACGGCAATATGTTTCTTGTTTTGAAATTGTACACGTATCTAAAGCATATCACACAGTGTTTTGTAAATTAACATACATGTGTTAAAATTACTGTAAATGCTACAGGTACTTTTTTACTTGAATATTAGTACTGCAGCGTGGACACTTCAGGAAATTCAGATAAGATAATTGGAGTAGTGCAAAGAAACTCGACCGAGATAAACTGAAGGCCTCGACAAGATTTTGTAATAGCCGTAAAACTGGATGACTTGGGAAAACCTTGGTTATGTTTGGCGGCAGAACTTTACTTGCATAATTTTTCACCGCGACTACTTACCAATTTTAATTTAATTTTGGAAATTACTCTACCGTCAATAACCAACGACTTTCACCATTGCCGATTTGTAATAACACGACCGGTAGTTCGGAGACAACGTAAATCTAATCAGAAAACAAAGGCGAATAGGTGTCTCACATAAGCAGTATCTCTGTGAAAGCAACTAGGGACGAGTTTATGATTAGATAGTTTTATTTGGTTAAAAGAGGGTTTAAATGACTGAAATAACAAGAATCAAATTGTAAATAAAACACAACCCCGACAGTGCACCGGACCAAACTAACGATCAAATTGTCTTCAGCTGTTCCATAAGGATGGAAAATCTACAAAAGGCCTACAATGTTTTATCTATGGTTCATGCATTACATTGTTGAGCCACAAAGTGTTTAACAAACAACTCAGTTAATAGGCAACAATTAACTGGTTACTGGAGTATTCCTCGTGATTGCAAATCGTCCGTGAAAACGATTACTGCGCTTAACGATAAACAATGCGCGTCTTATCGCGTGATGGTAATGATGAATAATGACTCGACCATCGTGACTGTAAACATCTCGGTCAGCTGGTCAGAATAGAAGAGAAAACAGGTGATCATCGTCTGAGTCATATGGTGTTTGCGTTGTTTACCTATAGTGAAAGGTTAACAATACGATCGTAAACAAAAATGGTGCAGAACTAATCCTTGAAGACAAGACATACTGTATTATTCGTCGGAAATGTGTTTGTTTACAAGTTTTATAAAACACAAACATTGTGTGCGTATTTTACGCTGAATATCCGTTATTTTTTTTTTCAATTATCAATAACAGCTGATGCCAGTTTCAAACCATCAAAAAGCTATTTGATTTTCCTAGATTGAACCAACCAACATTACTTACACCACGCTCTAAGGCTATTGTGAGCCGAAATTTATTAATACAGTATTCCAATATTATGTGTTTATAGATCATTTTTTCATTCTGTATGAATTAAAAACTTGATGATTTACCTTCAAGTGTGAATTCAAGTGTATTTTGGGAAATATGGATTTTCTTTGCTGTTAGACCATGTTGAGATGAGCAATTCCCCAAAAGTCCCCACTCCTCCCCCTCGTACTTTCCTCTACCCCCCCTAAATTTATTTTTAGATAAATTTACAGTCTCTTAGAAAATTAGCTACAACTTTAAAACGGGTAATTGTAGTTGGTTGCTAGTGTTTAGATACGCCTACACCCACTTGAATATTGCAAAAATAGATTGTAAGACTATTGAGTGTATTCTCATTGAATAAATATGTGGTCAAAGAATGAAACCAACCAATTTCACTAACAAAAAATACAAAGTAAGGCATCAGAGTCCAAACTGCACTTGGTTAATTCGAACCTTTAAAAGGTTATGACGATTCAGGATGGTCAGGACGGTTTGGAAACATCATAAAGACAAAGTACTGATCTTTGGAGCGATGAGCGTTTCCAAGGAATATCTTCCGAGTGAATAAAAATCGGCTGAAGATAATTACAGGTTAGGTAAGCAATGAGTAAGAGTTGTGTCATGACATGATGGTACTTCTTAATGTTTCCACTAAATTAGCACGCGCAAACATAAACTCTACAGATGATCCATACAAATGAAGGCCGAGTTTAGAATATACTTGTTTTACCATATAACTTTGGACAACCATTTTTTGAAACAATGGATAAAGAGCATACGAAATGAATTTAAATTGAATGCACAAATAATCCAAGGTATAAAAATTCTGTTTTGACATGCTAAAAACTATGTTTTATTTGACATTGTTTAACTACTGTCACAAAATAAATTTTAACAGACGTCTTATAAAAAAATCTTGTCTTAAAAAGTTAAAGAAAGCATGCGATGCAGATTTTGAAAATCTTTGTTGGGAGCTAAACGTCAATTTAGTTATGGCAGGCAAGCGAATGGAGAAAGTGCTAATTTTATAACATAGGGCGTCAGGTTGATCCTGAGAAAAGTTTGCAGCACTTTTAAAGGCCCAATTCCGTGATCATTGTGCTTAATGAGCAATTCTGGTTAAATAAACAACTGATCTTAGTCAATAAAAAGGCTACTTCACAAAAGTCATTAAACTTTCTTTTTAACTTATTCGTGTTTTCTTCTACTCGCAAAAGCTTGTAATCAAATACGTTCACGCAGCTAACCTGAACAAAACATGTAGAGCTTCGATTTTACATGTAAATAGCAAATTGTTTACAGAGATTTTTCATAATTCGCCGCGCATTTTATTTTGAAATGTAAAATTGGTCATTGTTGAGTAGTGCATGAGTAAGCAAGCAGGTGTTCTTGTTACCCAAGGTTCAAGGCAAACTACTCGGTCGTGTAATGCTCTACTTACAACTAAGTCGCTAAACAATGTTTTGGACATTCCTTATACTATATTCCTTATTGAAACACATTATACAAGGGGAGGTCCAAAGTCGACCGAGTTTTAAAGACACAATTTAATATGAATTGGATATGCAGGAGATACCCGCGGCCCGCACTTCCTCAAAGCTTTTCAATTCATTGTACATAATTATGTGTGTTAATTCCATGATCAACGCATTCTTAACTTCTTATTGTTTGGTATGAAAAAAGATATTGGGAGATTTAAATTACGACACTAGTGTGTATTTAGAAGAATTGTTATGGTAGGTGACAGCGCAATACCCCAATTATTGTTTAAACATTCATCAGTTTATTGGTTGGTTTTGCAACAAATTAACATTTGTTGTTAGTTTGTAATGTTAATTTGTTGTATATGCATCTGAGCTTGAAGAAAATATAATAAACTAGCTGTAACCCGCGGGCTTTGCCCCGTTTAACTTCTTAATTTTCAAGATTATCTCGTTTTATGGCTCAATCACGTCCTGGTTGAAGTTTGTTCGCTACGCTCACTCACCTTTAGGTTGGAGCTCGTTCGCTACGCTCACTCACCTTTAGGTTGGAGCTCGTTCGCTGCGCTCACTTGCCTTCAGGTTAGCTCGTTCGCTACGCTAACTCCCCTCCAGGTTGAAGTTCGTTCGCTACGCTCACTCACCTTTTGGTTGAAAATTAGCTGTTTTCATAAATGTAAAAGAAATAATAGTGCTGCACCCTGTTGGTAATCCTTGTAACTTTAATGCTATTGAACATCATAGAACAGAACCAACTTGTTTAATTGAAACAGCTGTTAAGATTCAATAATTCCATTTCTCATAAGGTTAACATGGGAAACTCCAGAGCCACTGGGGCGGAGCCCGAAAGGATTTTTGAAATAAGAATATGCCTATATGTTAATCGGGAATGTGAGCTATCATCATGCCAAATTTCAGCCCAATCCGTCCAGTATTTTTCGCGTTCACTTGTCACAAACATACATCCATACATCCATACATCCAAACTTTCTCATTTATAATAGTAGGATGCTTCCACCCATATGAGACACCGCAGTTTTTCGAGTGGGGCCTTAACAAAACACCAATTTTTTTAACATTCATCAGTTTATTGGTTGGTTTTGCAACAAATTAACATTTGTTGTAATGTATATGCATCTGACCTTGAAGAAAATCAAATAAATGCTTCCATCCATAGAAACTTTCTCCTTTCGTTTATAGCGGAAAAAATATAAGTCTTCCAGTACAAAAGGGAAACGCTACCGAATTTGACATTTTTGTCAAAATAATGAATCACGAATAAAGTCTCAGCTTTTTAGCCAATTAATTACGAAATTATCAACAAACATAAATACAAATTTCTAAAAGGTTTATAAAATATTCAAACTGATAGAACATTTAATTAAACTGCCACACCTTTATTTAGTCCGTCAGCTATTGACGTCCAATCAAATTCTTAAAATCGATTAGTAAATTATTTGTCAGGAAAATCACTGGAGAAACATTTTAAATGATCAACTCAAAGACATTCACATAACTCAAGGTTGTCCAAGAATGAATGAACGTTGAAACTTGTCTCACACACACACACACACACACCAGACTGGGGCGGGTGACTCATATACTACCAGGCTTCGTCTTCAATGAATGACGCACTGTGGAATTACCAGAAGGAATATTTGATTCCAGAAACTTTGTGACAATGCTACGCTTATGTTAAAGGGGGCTAGACTGGGTTATTGATCTTTAGGAAGAGGAAATAATTTGGAATATTCTTACGTCCAGATATCAGCATGTGTAAAAGTAAAAACCAACAACCAACAATATGATTCTTACTTGTACAAATTCCATAAAATTTCCTCGTCCATTTTAAATTATGTTTTGACAGAAGTAATTAGTACGATAAACGTCACATTTAATAAAATTGCATGTCTGTTCACTTTTTTGTTCATTGACAGTCTAGTTTTTACAGCTTCAAATTGGATGATTTTCATGGGAATGTCAATTCGCTATGTGCTCATAATGCGAAAGTGTTTATAATAAATCTCCATAAAACAATGCGCTTGTATAAGCAGCAGAGAAAGGGGACCTTAAGAGTTCCCACGAGGACCTTAATTTTATCACTCTCTATCTATTGTATGTATATAAGAGCAATATTGTATGGGTAACTAAGTGGTAACAGTGTTCGCCTTCAAATCTGGAAATCGCTGGTTCGAATCCTAGCGATATCAATTCTGGACACAGGTGTCATTAATCAATGGGCTATTAATTGATTGCTTTAGTTTGGTACACGCCCGGGGTTTTTTTACCGTTATCTTTCCAAACACGCAATAAACGCGATACGGAAGGTTTTAATGTTTTTCACAGACCTATGAAACCAGGAAAACCCATATTCTACAGCACACGTTCGTGTTGCAAATTCCGGGAATCACTATTGTAATGATAGGATATGATGTGATGTATGACAATATCGCGACGTTTCGGTTCGGTTGCTCCGGCCTTCATCACGATGGGAGTCCAGGAAACCAGGGAGGATCATAGTCATTTATCGAGAGATCACTATCATAACAATAACAATAACAGCTGTCGGCAGCGGTAGATGCTGGATTGACTTCAAAATAGATGTTTTCCTTTCAAATACATTTAAAGTAGTCTTTGATATAATTCTTAATTTCAACACTTTGTAAATAAAAAAAAAACATAGTGATTTTTTAAAATAAGGAATCATAACATTCATTCATAGTCGATATTCATCTACATGCACATGCACAATAATAGCTGATTAATGGTAATTCCGTTTTTTTTATTTTTGATTTTTTCCAATTGATTAATTCAATTTCAATTCGCTGTGGTCTATATTTACCGTGGACAAAAATACTATTCGACAATATTTGGTTGGGTCCTTATTTAATTTTTAATTGAAAGATTGTTTTATAGTTGTAATTGAGTTCACAGGCAAAAGTTTTACTTTTGCTTAATAAACAGCTTACATAAAAAAGTGAACACTTATGTTTTATGGTTAATTAAATTTATAACTTGTTAAGTGGTGATTTCAGATAAACTTTTCCTCCCGTCTTTCAAAATTATTCTTTGAAAATGTACACTTTCACTCTTTTTAACAGTGGCATAACATAACATAACAATCACACACAGTTAACATAAATAACCATTTTTAGAATCAGATTTTTAATACGTGAGTTCCTAATGCGTATCTTTACTTGTTAGAATTTGTTTATTTAACTTTACATTTTGAGAACTGTTATTGTACAGTTTCAGCACGTATAAACCCTCTTATGTTTTATGACTATGTGAGAAGATGCTTAATATCGTTACTCACTTAGATATACACAACTATTACTCAAAAGTTACTCACCATAGCTTTGTTATCGCTCGAGACCGGGAGAGAATCCGTCGCAGCCAAGAGACACGCGAGAACCGCGAACCTCACAAGAATAAACATTTTAGAAGGTGAAGAAGTGAAACTCTTAAGCACTGGCATTGTCTCTGAGTTAATTAAACAACTAAATAGTTAAACTACAAAATATTCAACAGTTAACACATGATATGGAGTACTTTAGGTGGTTGTAATTGCAGAGCTAGCGCGCACCAACTCCTGCCAACCGACCAGCTGATCCTTGCTTCCCGCGCGCTCACAGCTGACTGACCTGGCGCCAAACCTCTCCCGCGCTTTTATATCTCCATCAGCTGACGTAACCTCGGTCGGAAAACTTGAACGCGCGTCCCCTCAGCTTTTTTATTTCCCCGATATTTTGGCGCGTCTTTTGGATGTATTGGGTGGTCGAGCATTAAAATCAGAGTGACATTAAGCTAAACATATAATTTTAATTCGTATTTCTATCAATGTTTAAACAGAACAAATCATTTAAAATTTTGGTTTAGATTAAGTATATGACTATGACTGGAGACATTATATTCCCATGTTAATTGTGTACCTTTTTTATATAAATATGGACATAGTTTGATTGAGCTACCTAAGCCAAGAAGAACAACTTTAGTTTTTGTCTAACTAAGGAGGCAATTTTATATTGTAGCACACTCTATGAGTATAGTTTCTCGAAGATTTCCTCATAGCCGGTCCATATATCTACCCATATATCTACCCCCGGTCTATATATCTATCTAGGATGGAAGGTCTACGTTGGTCTACTGAAGTATCTATAAGTAAATGCTTTTACAGAAATCCAAACCTTGACATTTCTTCTCCGCAACCCCCATGTTGAGTTATCAATAGAACAGTTAAATTGCAGAATGGGTTTAAATTGTTAATTGTAGACGTTTCCGTAAATATTTAGGCTGCTATTGTGTGTAGGGGTGAATCCGTTATCGAGGTTGTCGACCTTTCTTTGAAAGTTAAGGGGAAGCATTTTCCCATATTTTTCATAGTGTATAAATTAAATTAGTGTTTAAATTAATATGGTGATGTGAAAGTGATAAAAGCATAAAGGACTCAATATGTGGCTGTTTTGTGTCTATGGATTAGAAATCATAAAAAATTATAAGTCTAACGTGGTTCATTAAAAAGATTGGGTAGTTATTTATTTTTAAATCGTGTAGACTATAGTTTTTATAATGGAGGCTATTTACATGTTTTATTGGGTTCTGAGCTATAAGCAAATAAATACATCTTTAAATGTAAACAAATTAAATTGTTGGCTATTTTATTCAATGTTGGTGCAGATTTGTAGTCTACACACCTGGAAAATAAATGCCACACCAAACCTCCCCACGTTACAGTATTAAATACAATTTACCAAAAACTGACTTGTGTTTACTCTTAAAGTATTCCTTAAATGCGATAACTAATTTCATATACTACTGTTAATATAAACTAGAGGTCGTCCAGTGGTCGAAAACTCGACCAAAAGTATGTAGTGTACATACTTCTCTATTTTCACCCTACCCTGTAAATAAAATACATGTGATTGGAATTCCTTCCGTTTGTTTTGATTTTCTTTGTTATTTCGTCACCATCATGGCAACGCATAAGGCTCATGTTATTTTTTGAAACTTTTTAATTGATTTTTTGTTGTGCTTATTTTGAGCCTATTTTAATTTATAAAGGGAAAACACAAAGTCAAACGTAAGTAATTTTGTTCTTAACATTTAAAACAATTAACAATATGTTACTTGAATTCTCTAAGCCATCAATAAAACATACTATAAAAACAGAAAACCTAACGTAAGTCATTTCCTTCTTTACATTTTATACAAATAACATTACAACGTTTTACCATAGACTATGATTTTACTTTAATTAGCTGAAACATCACCGACTACAGAGATAACCCCATTTTAACATGGATGTAAACAAATTGTATTATGGCCATCTGTTTTGATGTTATATAGAGGAAGTTATATATTGCTCAGAAAGTGTATTGAGCTCATTAATTTTATGTTCGGAGTGTTAATAGTACAAATTAACTACGGTATAGCTAGCGAGCTAGCGATATTGTGGGTACTTATCCATCAGCGTTCCCAAGTACCTCCCCTACAACGTACAATTTTTCCTACCCTCATTCTCCAACATGTATCGGACAAATGTTTGTCTTCTTTGTAAACTTTGAAGCCAAATTAGCTTTAAGGTTAGAAAAGTAATTTGGCCGCCCGATTTGGTATCCGTGCTGCAGCCGCCCTCCCTACATGGATAAACAAGTTGCCCAGCATCTACTCGAAGATTGGTAAATACATTTCGACCATTTCTAACTCTTCTTAAATATAAGAGATATTGCCCAGCTCGTCCAGAAGTTGTCCAACTGCACCTGTGATTATAAGAATAAGCTCCAAATTCGAGCCATCAACTACACCGATGTTCAGTTCGTAGTTAACTTTATCTTGTGAGTTACTTCGACCTCAAATCTAACCCTACAAGCTCTACGCCTAGCTGATAAAGGTCGAAAGAGGTCACCAATCCAGGTGAAGAATAATTCATTATAGCAAAACGTAAGTGATAATGAAGCAAAATGAAGGATTCGCAACCGACTCGGAGGTATGTGTTCTATTGGTAATTTATGCCGCATTAAAAATATACTTGTAATAAGATAATCTTTAGAGTGTGATTTATGATTTCTTATGTTCACGTTTTTTCACTTCCTAGGTGATCTACATAAATCAATCCTGCTTGCATTTCCCTACAAATTAAAACATCATACCAAACTTACGCAATGATCAAACAATTCTACGATGTATTCTATTGCGTTGTAATAGAATAATCAGTCTATTGTATTGTCAGTTCAACCTGTCCAACATTAAAATACATACACAATATTACAACATATGCATAACCACATTGGCATATCTCAAGTCATTGTGATCACCACGAGCGCGATTGAATAGTAAACTATTTCCGCAAACATTATGCTTGGAAGCGTTCAACCTTAGCGATTCCACAGGCGACCTAGGCCACCGTTTTTCTTGTAAATATTTATCACCTTCCTCCTGCATATACTATTGCAGGACATTGGTGGCGCTATTGACCTTGAACAGTGAAAACAAAATGAGGCTTCTGGCATCGTTCGAAGTGAAGCATCACGACCTATCATGCATTATCACGGACAGTGTTATGAAGCAATAAGTGATCATTTACATCAAATAGACAGTTGCGAGCCAGTTCTTGCCGGCGGGAATGTTAACAGCACGTTACGGCGATATCTTGCCAATTATAAGCGATTCTTGCAGAATACCTTCATCTATTGTTGTCTCCTTGTTTTCTGCGCTTCTTCATTTCCTCATGTCGTTTTAGACGCCGGAGTTAAACACAGATTGTAGCTAAGGTAATTTCATCCAGATTCGATTTCAAAAAGATCTTTCCTATGTCAAAACAGCTATGTGGTGTTGGTGGTACCACAATATGTTGGTTGAATAAAATAACAAGGAAAAAGTAAACAAAACACTTGTAGCATGTGTTTATAGCAAGCTTTACAGCATACTAGCAAATTACAAAGTACAGTACAGAGAAAAAACATTAGTTGTATCTATCTAGCAAAGATTACACTAAAGATTTGATTGTTTCTGGATGTTCTAACCAAATGTATTTAAAAATTATGAGAAGAATATAGTTGTAATTTTAAGGCTAATTGTTGGCACCTTTCTGTATTTCATACACTGTACAGTAAATCACAAATTAAGTTTTTCTGGTTCTAATCCCTATATGGTTATAAACATAACATTTATTAATCTATACTCTTACCTCTTGCCTACCGTTAGTTGTAACAAATTTTAAACTTGTTAAACCAAAGCCACCTCTATTAGAGATGACCTTAAACCCCTGATTGAGACCAATATCTTTTTGAGGTTGTTTACAGTAAAATAAAAACTTCACATCAGTGATGTCGATTCAGTATTACCAACTAACAAAGAACCGTTGTTGACCAAAGAATTATGTGGCGTGAACATGTGGGCACGAGGGGATACAATGATGTGGATAGAAACAAGCATGAACACGAGGTTGAGTTGTGGGTAATCAATGTCAATAAACAGTCGAAACAATTTTGACTACACAGTAGTAGTACTGTGTAGCGGAATGACACGTTCATACTGTTTATAACTTATGTTGTGTATGTGTGGGTTGTCCCAATACAAATTATATGTAAAATTATTAGGTTGACGAAAGACCTCGGACGTCTTGTTATTGGTCACGTCATTTTAATGGAGGGAAATTATTTATCAGGTTTTGGAATAACTTAATACGTATAATTTAGTAATAATCGTTTAAGTTTGATTTAGATATACAACTTCAATAAAATCTCCACCAGTTTTTAATGAGCTGCTGGCTAATGTGCAAGGTCGTGTAGATAGTCAATATATCCCTTGACCATTTTTTTTTTCATGTGACATAAATACTTATATCGTCAATGCATAATATTTTAATAGCAAAACACTAAAAAAACACACAAAAAACTAGTTTACTGTTTAAGCAGTATTAAAAAAACTTACCTTTACAAGAAGTTTGCTGTTAAATTAAAATAAACTTTTAGATTGTGCCAAGCTGTAAAGGGCTAACTCATTGTAAGCCATAGTATCACATTTCAACTACTAAAATATGATAAAGAGAAAAAACTTGAATTACAGCTCATTGAATGAGAGAATCATTCAAGTGTGTCTTTAAATATACACTATTCACTTGAATATACACAGCTGACACTAAGCTGGTCATCTAACTAAAGATGGAATGTCTGACTTTATTACCCAAAGCCGATTGTGGAAAAAAGTAAAAGTAACATGCTTTTCTCATTAAAACAGATTGAATAGTAAATAATAGTAAACATAGTATGAATTAGCAAGTCACCGACCCAGCTGTTCCTTGAAAGATGTTTCACTGACTCAATGACTCACTTATCATCAGTCAAGGTCACGCTGTTATCTAACTGCAGCAGAGACTCGCTTCCGATGACACTCTCGGGATATGTGATAAGTGATAAGCTACAGATACACTTTAGATTATTGCAAAAATATTGAAAATCATTCATTTATTTACTGTTAGAATGTTAACTATATGGATTATATTTTAATTACTTATTGTAGTTTCATCAGTAAAGTGCACATATATTGTTATTGTTTTTTTTTATTATTTATACTTATTACTGTTTTTAAACAATTTAAATAATAATAGTGAGTTCGTCCTTAAATTGTTTGT